CATATACTCAAAATAGGTGCCGCCGAAGATACACTTCCGAACCTCTAAAGCAAATCCTCTCCAAGTAGATAAGGTTCAAAGGTCCCCAAAGAGGACGCCGAAGCCGCCAGCCTAACCACCATTCCACATGACAAGGCGCAAATCCTGCACAGCTGAGATACACCTCTCCTCATTCCAAATATATATAATAAGGACATAATCTCCAATTTCTTCTCGTAGGCCTGCCCAAAATGAAGAAGCCGTCCGCTGCCTTCTATCTCTGAAACCGTACTCGGCGATGTCGCTACATCGGTATCCGTATTTTACACCGTAGTAGATGCAAGCTTGCTGGATTTCGGCCTTCGTGACACAAGTGCTGATACTGATCAGATGCGTGGTTCTGTGTTTGTATACATGCCGAGAGATGCGCTAATTGCTCGAACGAGATTTGATCGTGAGGGCGTATGAAGAGTCCGAGTGAAATCTTTTCAGAGAATGAGGATCATGTTCATAACCTGATATGTTGTACGAGAAGTATGTATGTAGGAAGACTTAGTCGGTATGTGTGTCTGATGTCCGTGCCATGATCACGAGCATATTAGGATTCAAAGCGGTATATGCTTGGGACTCAATTAGAACGTTCTCAGTGTAAGTTACACACCCATCGTGATACCCAACACATTTGACCTTGCCCAAATGGCGTCGGTGATGTGTTGAAAGGATTTGAGGTGGCTCGCAAACGGAGGATTCGGACAACTGTGTGTGACGTTCAGGACGCCAAGCGATACTATGTCCTAAATTATGAATTTTTATCGGAGGATCTGCCAACATTACGTCATGGTAGGAATGGAATGGAATGGAATGAAAAATGCAGTGGTACTCGGTATGGCGACTCTAGAAAATGCAAAAGTCTATAAATGTTGCGCGTCATTTTTTAAGAAGTCAATCACGCACTATTACGTCTTGCATCAAGGTCGACAACATTGGCATGACGACGTTGACTGGTTCGAGGGGTCATCGTTATTAAGTGGGAGCGGATTCCTTTGTATGATGTGATCGATCTAAACTCGCAGCATATGTGGACGAATATTCCGGGAGATTCAGATGCAGAGCCTGCGTGCGTAGGAAAGGTAATCGAGCATGAACGCCACGAACTCATGAACGACTCTCGAGCGTTGGGGTTGCTGTCCGCACGACATTAAATTTTCCGCACTCGAACCTCATTCTGTTTGCGACCTACTGGAGGTCGGAGGTGGGACAAGGTGGAGATCTTCGCACGCTTTTCAGTCTGAACAACTGCCAACTGCGCTGATCCTGTGACGCATGGTTCTACTCATCCTATGCATCTTGACCGCCTGACATTTCTCTTCGGATCTCACCAGGTCATCGCTGCATCCAGTGGTCAACCACCTAGTGCATATTACTAGGCCAACCCCTAGTACATAGACGGGTGCACCTAGTGCACCCTTCTCTCTACTACTGTATATTATTCTAGAATATTTGTTATGTACATGTACATATATACCAACTTAATATATCATTTCTTCGAAGTTTGGACACTGACATTCATCTAAGTGCACTATAAATTAATGTAGTACGAGTGGTGTTTCTCTCTTTAGATCCATGACAATTTAATGTATACTATGAGTGAAGGATTTTTTATATATAATATTCACTGATGATAGTGGATTTAAAAAAAGTAAACGATTCTCGTACTGAATTTGAATGATTTCTCATAAGCTATTTTAAGGGAATTAGTATATAATTTGATGTGGCGATATTGGCATCATCACTGTATAGTTCATAAAGGGTCTTTCTATAATTTTTGCTACATTTTTAAAACTATGGAAAACGTACTTTTCTAAGTCCGAGTCTTCAAATTTGTGTTGTATGTATTAATAACTTTGTAGCTTCACAGTATCATTCGAGAACGACTAGTTATCATTCAGTATATACTTATTATCCCTCACCCAACAAAAATCTGTGGGGTCTCACAAATTTTCCCTATATCTTCGAGGGGAAAAGAGATTTCTTGGGAAACATACCAACTTCAGCGAGACTGATTGCAAGTATCTATATTTCAGTGTTGGGCAGCGATTATATCCCGGTCAGACTCTGGCATGAAGAGAGCCAGAGTTTCTCTTCATGGTGAACGTGCTTGTAGGAAGTCTTGCTCAGAGGTACCATTATGCCTTGGGAACGATTGGAAGCACAAGAGAGATGAAGGTAATTTCTTCAAAGAGGTAGTGCTACACCCGAACCTTATAAAGAGTCATGGTTTCCAACGATTCGCATCAGATTTTAATTAGGTGAGGGATAATCAGTGATAACTAACCGCTCCCTATCTTTCTTGTAAACTATTATCTATTTCTGCGCATAGACAAAATCACTACTGCGTTTATACCCTTGCTTACTCAAATTTAAACTTTTCCTATGTTCAAATAGAGAAGTGTGAAAGTAAACCGAATTACAAGTCAAATGGAATGATCTGATGTAAATGGATTTTTTTGTAATTTTTTTGAAGCAAATGTAAATGGATTTAGACTGAAGAAAAGTGAGAGTTACTTTATGACAATGCCAACGTATGTGAGTTATACAAACCTACAGAATTGTACGTAGTTTCCTACTTGGGTCACCTCCCTTACTATCAGTCGTCAAGCCTAATGCAAGCCTACGAAAGATGAATGAACTTTACCGCGAAAACTCACACCCGCTTGACCATCTTTCCATGAAATGTTGGTCATTTTTGTATATTTTAGTTGTGCCTAATTTTTCATCGGAAAAGAGGCAATCTACAGATTTTCGATATGTCCATTAGCATACTATATAAAGATTCTACGTTGAGTGGAGTAGAACCAGATATGCTCTTGATTCTTTCATAGCATTGGTGGAGGTGAAATGCAAATGGATGTCTCCCCTTCTGATGAAAAGATGCCACATCTGTAGAATCTGAGACTGAGTGCAACATGGAGGATCGACTAGACGAAGAACGTATCCACGATGGCATTTTAGCCAATAGCCAGATTTAGGTTTGATTCCATGTGGTGAATCGATTGACTGCGCTCTGACCGATCAGTCAAATTGATCAACTTCATATGGGTAATCGATGTGAATTTTACACCATAGAATATAAAACTATCTCCTATAGGGAAACAAATTTGTCAACAAGAATAACTGCCAAATGATGAACTTCATGTTTCGAAGTTGGGAACATCTGAATACAAAAACAAACTTCGAAATGAACATAGTGCATTTAAGATGTTTGGCCGAAAAACACTTTATTCGACAAGAGTTTGCCATTGAAATCACTCATATATTAGTATTTCCAAGGCATATTTGCACGAGGAAATACTCAAGGGGAAAGGTATGAACATATGAGGCTACAGGTAGCATAAGGAACACATCAAATACAAAAGAAATAATCATTATACTTTAACGAAGAATGTGAAACATATTTTTGAAATTTTTGACTATACATAAAGAAAAATACCTGAGCATATCTGAAGTGGGTTGAAGACCTTTAGTTTGGTTGAGCTTGTCTTTTATTCTCCATCGAAAGACATTATGAAAACCAATATCTACGGAGCAGTATTACTACAACATAGCTGTGAGAAAACTGCAGGAGAAATTTTCACTTATAAATTGCAGATAAGAATCAGGGTCAGCTGTAACCGTGTGCAAAATCAAAGTGAAATCGTTGATAAAAAAGTCTTGAAGTGTTTCCATTCTCATATTTATTTTTAACTCTAATCACCTGAAGTCTCGCATACTCTTCCAATAAGAAAACGTTTTTAAGCTTATGTTTCTATCCAAGAATATTATCGACCATACATGTGCGCACATTCGGTTCTCCAAGCTTGTTGAGAAGTAAAATGGGACGAAGTAAGATAGGAATAAAAAGTTATGATCTTCAATATATAGGGTTTTTCGGAAAAGAAGAGAGAGTAAATTGTAGACATTACCCGACCGGGGCAAGGCTAAATTGATTTCTTCCCCCATCTCAATAGGGGAATAATCGCTACCCTCTGATAACGTTACGATTTCATTCTCACCCGACGTTCGGATTTTCCATGTCATCTCTTCTAATTCGCGCTCGATTGGTGGTTGTCGATGGCACCTGACGTTCGTTGGTGCCGATGAACAGCTGGGAGGAAAATCCCAACGTAAATGGCAAAAACCACATCTAAAAAAAGGCAAGAACACGCATCCAACTTAGGACGACCCCGTGCTCCACAGAAAGGTGGACCACGAGATGGCCGTGAGACCTGTGCGCAGCAGCACAGCAGCAGCACCAGTGCCCCCGCACTCCAGAAATGTCGATACCGAATCCGCACTGCGCTCGCCTCTCAGTGCACCGAACCAGCGGGCAAAACCGCGGGGAAAAAAGTCCCCGGCGATCGATCCTCTGGACGCGACGCCAACGTTCGGCTCAGCTCGGGTCAGCTGCAAGCAGAACAACGTCCGAGCGCGCGGGTCGGGCCTTAACGGTCGGTTAGCGGGAGGTATCACCCCTTACAGAGAGAGAGAGAGTACAAATGACAGATTCCGTTCGTACGTACGTGTAGATCATGCAAGTTCGGACGAGCGGGCGTTGAATGTACGATCAGAAGGATGGCGGGTGTCGCGTAGCGGTGACACCGGGTAAACGATCCAACTGGGGTGAAAGTGAAAAGGTGAAACGAGTGACAGGAATCTATTCTGGCGTACAACGGGGGAGGTAAAACGGTAGCGGGTGAAAGCCCGGACGGAGTAAACGCAGGGTGAATGGTCGAGAGTTACAGGGTGAGGCAGATGGTAGAATCAGTGGGCGGGGCAGCGGCGATATTGAGCGAAAAGAGGCGAAAATGAGGTGGAAAGAAAGCCGAAAGCGCGGGTACTTTCCATGTGTGGGGGGCTGCGATTGGGCGAAAAGGGGCGACCGGAGGACGTGGCAATGCTGCTGCTAGCCGCGTGTAGAAGAAGGGCGACGGGACGAGGCTCGAGCTGGGGGTGAGGACGTGGGGGCCAAGGGGCGAAATCTTACCTCTCCCGCGGCCGTAACGCTGCTCTCGCTCGGCTCCTCCTCGTCGCCGCTCTCGCTCCCGGACAGAAGGAGGGCGCAAGAGGAGATCAAGATCTAGCGAAACGGGCAGCGCGTGCTGCAGGTGCAAGGTATTGGATCTTCTTGCACGGGAACGTTGTCGATGGCGCCGAGGCGAGCATTGTCTCGTGCTCTTGATTAGACATTGTCGATGGTCCCGGGAGCCTTTCTTGTCTAGGCCGCGACGACGAGGAAGAGGAGGAGGCGGCGAAGAGAAGCTGTAACGAGGATTGGCGACGAGGTTCAAAGCAACGAAATTGGCGCTCATATAAGGCGGGAGGCGAAGGTGCCTGAAAATTCTGCATCCGCGGGTCGTCTCATGTCTTATGCGCGAATTTTTCCCGACGAGGTCTGTGTCAGACAACGAACGAAGGCGACGAGGAGGGGGCCGAATTTGAGTCGGTTGATGGTCGACTCGTATTGACGACTGTTGGATGCGGAGAGTGGTGACCTTCTGGTGCAGGCAGACCTCGTGGGATGCGGCAGTGAGAGGGAATCCAGTGCTGAGAGATGAGGACTCGTCCGGCGACGCGTTTGTGATTTAGAACATGGAGAGGCTTTTCCGGAGGCGGAGGAGAGTCCGCGTGGAAGCGACGAGAGGGATACTGTGGAATTGATGAGGAATTGGAACTTAATTTGAACTCGAAGGAGCGTAACAGACGGGGTGGAACGATGGTGAAATTTGCGAAGTACCTTAACGTGCATCTGGTACCTGAGTGGAGGCCGGCGTACTGTAATTATAAGAAGTTGAAGAAGGATTTGAAGAAGATAAAGAATCAGCTCGGCACTGGGTGCCGTCGGCAGAACTCTCTTCTACGGGTCTATAATTCTCAGTCGAACAAAGTCATTTCGGTACGTTTTTCATCGAGAAGCTGCAGACGATGAGCTTCGTGATTTTTTAGTGTAATTGTTGTGGAGAGGTTGTTTGCTGGATTTCTGCGCATGGAAGAAATTGGCCTATGCCAGTGATCCGTTAGGTAGCGTGATGTATGTATGCCAAGAGGAAGTTTGAGCCAGCAGTGTAGTATGACGGGAATATCGCACATGCTGCTGGAAATTGCACTCTCTGTCGTAAAGTGTGATGCCGCTCGGAACATCGTCTGCTCCTACGAAATAATGCCTGACAATCTTAAGCAGAGTTTTAGCCATTTACTGCCCACGCTTCTCCTTGCTTATGAACTGTCCCTGCGTCAGGCTCATCCAATGCCTGCCAGTCAATTGTCTTGGTTTATGAGAGCAGTAAATATTGCCAGTTGTCCTTTATCCTTTCGTCTTCCTTTTGATCTGCGTTACAATGTCCAATATCTCTTTGGGATTACAAGTAATTCTGGGTTTCTCGATGAGAGTACATTTTGCTTCTGCTCACGTGTGCCACTCTACAATAGAGTTGTTCAGGCTTCCATAAAAACAGCGTAAGGTTAGTCGCCTGTTACCTCTGCTTAATTGCCCGATGTGTCGATCGGGTGACCATTGCATTTTTCGGGTCAAGCAAGCAAACGATCGACTTTTTGACCTTTTATGATATCAACAGGTGCTCTTTCTCTTCAATTCAGGTTGTCGTGTTCTGTGGATGCGTTGTTGGCTCTATTATATAAAATGGCCTTATAGTTTCCCGTCTTGATTTGCAGGTACATCATAAGAGTAGCGACCTCTTTGGCTCGCGCCTTGATTTAGTGGAGACAGAGTTTTTGGAACCCCTCAATGCAGCACAAGCTCATAACGAGAAACAATTTTTTGCCAGGTTGGACAGTGAGCTGAACAAAGTGAACGAATTTTACAAAGGCAAAGAGAAGGAGTTCATGCGACATGCTGAGATACTGGACATGCAAATGCAAACTCTGCTGGAATTGAATGATGCTGCTGAGAAGAAAGCGGCGGACCCGCTGGCTGAGTCTAAAAATGACTCTGAGGAAAGGAAACCTCTGTTAACTCGTAAGCGACTTGCAGTTTTGACCCCCTTCAAGGCTTGCATGTAGGCTCATTGCAGACGTGTTGCGTCAACCTGGTTGTTAGGCCCAAAGAGGTTGGGCTTGTACTGAAAACTTTGGGTCCAGTCTCTGAACATTGATTTGTTAATTCGTCGTATTATTGCAGGTCAAAGCTCCATTGATGTCATGGATTCAGTACCATTGACCACAGAAATGCTTTTCCAAACCGTTTCGAACCACCGAAGTATGGCTAACATACCTGAGAAGGACCAGCTGTCAACACTTCTGTCTTCTCAGTTAGGTGATATTGAAGCAAGAAGCTCGCCAGATTGCGGGTACGACTTCAACTCGAGGAGGAACGCGCCGGCGTCTCTATCAACACATCCACCTGGGCTCATAATCAACGCTCTTCAGCATGCCACTAACGAAGATGTGATGCACAAGGTGAAGAATACAGCGAAAGACGTGATGGACCAAGCTGAAGACGTTGCAAGTTTTATCGCAAAAATTCGTCAGTCAGAAAGAATGCTACGCGATGCTTTTATCGAGTTTTACCGCGGTCTAGGATTGCTCAAGAGCTACAGGTTTGATTCATACTCATTGAACGTGGTTAGCGCCTGGTAGTGTCTTTTACATTTATGTTTCCGGCATCAAAGTTCCGGCATCTCTGCAAAACTATGTACTATCCAGTTAATAAGAAGCTGGAATCGAGATACACAGCTACTGGCTTTTTCATTATCATTCTTAGAGGGGAATCGCCGCAGGGTTTTAATATTTCCATCTCTGCACGGAGTTTTCAGCGCTAGAGCGCTGAAAACTTATTAACTGGATAGTACATAGTTTTGCATGAATAACTTCTTACAAAGCTAGGTCGTTGATCTGTCTGCCGTAACGAGGTCGAACATGGAGCTTAGGATGGTTGATTGGGGCAATTTGTGCCTGGCTTTGATGGAAACAAATTACAGATCTCAGACGGCTTGACCTAATCCGAATTAGAGGTGTGACATCTGATATCTGACATAGTACTTTTCCCCTCGTCTTCCTTGCGCCGCGACTACTTTCGAGTAGAGCCTGGTTTCTTTTAATAATAGCCTTAGAACTTTTCTAGTGCTTGTGCCAACGGCAAGATTCTGTCGTTCGTCATCGAAGGACTAATTATAACAAACAGAACTATATTGCGATGCTATAAGCATTCCTAATCTTAATTAATAGCAATCTTAGCACGTCGTTTTCTTTGCTGTCAACAATTGTTGTCATTTACAACTAGTGTTGGGTGTCGTGTGACAGCATGCTAAACACGCTCGCATTTACGAAGATATTGAAGAAGTACGACAAGGTAATGTGTTTATTTTTCCCGAATCTGATCAGTTTTGCCGAATCTGATCAGTTTTGCGATCAGCACGAACAGACAAGTGATTGTAGCCTTGGTTCTTTCACAGTATAGCCAGCTTATTAACAAGACATGGATCCTGCACTAAATTTGTTTTATAAGTCTATAACATCATACAATTGACAGCGCCAAAGCGTTCTTAGTGGCCTGTGTTGTGATACATCTTGACAAACCGACAGTTTCACGTCAGAAATTCTGAGAACAGGCTGTTGTCACATGCAGGTCACCGAGAGGGGTGCATACTCGACATATATGAGAACTGTGGACAATTCGTACTTCCACACGTCTGACCGTGTACGTCTTTTTATACTTCTTTCTTCCAGTTCTTCACTGCATGCTCGGGTCCAATTTAAATTTTAAATTTTGAATTCATATTTTATAATCTAGATGTTGGGTTCCTTCCTGAATGCAAATGTGATGAATCGTATTCTAGATAAACATAAAGAAAACCAGTGGTCCGGAAGAAATCGTCATTCTTTGCTTTCAGCTATGACGGTTCAATATTCTAGCTGGTCCTTTCTTTTTTGTCCTTGTGAAACGAAGTCGTCTCCGATGAAGTACATGCATTGAAAGTCTTCGAGAAACTATTTGCAGGTAAATTCTCTCATTGCATGGGTGGAGTCTATGTTTGCTGATCACTTCGCAAATGGTGATCGGCACAGAGCAAGAAAGAGTTTGAGACCGAGGCAGGCGAAATCTCCACATCGCATTACTTTCTTCTTAGGTGCGGCCTCTATGGTTTATATCTTTGTAGTTTTACTTTGATTCTTTTGGTTTATTAAACACATGCCATGGTTGTTGCCAGCGATCATGGCAAGTTCTCATACAGGATGATAGCATTTGGAACTTTTAGGAGTAATCTTTTCGTAAATTGTATTCAGAAACTCTGTGTCCTGTTTTTAAGCGTTTCAGAATCCCATGTTCATCCTAAAATGTTCATGTGATGTGATCCTTCGGTTTTCATGCTTTTCAGGGCTCTTTAGTGGTTGTTCATTGGCCTTGGTTGTGGCCTACATAGCAGTTCTGCACGTGTTGTTTCAGAGTCTGACACCGGAGGAACAAGCGTCTCGTATAGCTTCTTACATGCAGTCCGTCTTCCCAATATTCAGGTGTGGTCAATGTTTTCCCTGCTGAATCATAAGATAAGGGACGAAAACAAGTTGTATAGTAGTGTTGCTCACATCTTTCTCTCGTTATCTAAACATTCTTGCCGGTACAGAGACGAAGAAGCTGTTTCATCGATTAAATACAGAAGCCAGATGATTGGACAAAAGTTTGGGATGAACTAGATTCAGAATGGCTCTTAGGTTCGTGAGTTATTAGTGAAATAGGTGCTTCAAAGTCTAGAAGAGCCGTCTCTCACAGCGTTTCAGAGCCGAATGCTTTGAGCTTGTTGAGGCATGGGTCTCTATGTCTCAATATCGGTGTTACACCATGGATCGAGTTTAGGATTACTTCTGACCATATAATGCAGATGCATGGGGAAACATATAACTGAAATATTTGTAATACGCCGCTCTCTTATGACTTAGCTCGTCAATGACTGACTATCTACTTGTTGGATGTTCGGTGGGCTAGTATGACAGCTCTCCTGATTCTACATATGTACATGTATGGGTGGAATCTTTACCTTTGGCGTCGCACGCGTATAAACTACGCCTTCATTTTTGAGTTCGCCCCAGGCACTGAGTTATGTTATCGCAAGGTGCTATTGGTGTGTACTGGCCTCACTGTGGTGCTTGGAGTTGGTCTGCTGGGGCATATCACCGCCCAACTGAATGAGTCTCCAGCTGTCGATCTCATCCCTCTGGGGGTAGTGCTGGTATGTGTCACGAAGACATACAGTTTGCTTACAAGATTTGAGGTTCATTGACTGTTCATGCAGCTAAAATAGTTCTGTCAGACTGTGAAGCTAGTCAGTATTATTTGAGCTTCTGCTCAATGTACGAAGTGTTGTTCTGGTTCTCTTTACTTCTGCTCTGTAACTACCAATCTGAATCAGTGTAGGTGTATATGTGCAGACTTTACTGATCCTGCTCTTTTGTCCATTGAACATCTGCTTTCGGTCGAGCAGATTATTCTTTTTAAATTGCATGTTTCGAATAATATGCTCTCCTTACTATGAGGTAAGTAAGCGTATAAATCCATCCACTCGATGAAATCTGCTTTACAAGTACTATAGGGAAAGTTTATAGATGCTTTTGTCGTCTTGGTGTACTCGGAGTGTTTTTGCTACTCGGTTCTGAGACTCGTGCCTTTCGAACACGGCGCAGGTACTTCTGGCAGATTTTTTTCTCGGTGATCAACTTTGTAGCCAGGTTTGTCTTTTTTCCCTCCAGAATATTTGACATATTCGTTGCATCTTGGTTTGTCTTATAAAAAACAGGGTTATCCTTATATGTTGCTGAGGGGTGGATTGAGTTTTAAAATTTGCATGTACAATGGAGGTTATAGGTACCTGTACTTCGCAACATAGAGTACGTTATGTGCTACTACCTAGGCGGACACTTCTTGACGGAGAATGGGGACATCTGCCTCAACAATGCACGATTCAAGGAAATTTCTTACATTATTTCGGTGCTCCCTTACTGGTGGCGTCTGATGCAGGTAACGGAAAGTGCAAGAAGAAACTGCAGTTGATTTGTTAGGCTTGTAAATTGTTTTTGACAGAACTATTCAAAGTCAGACGCAAGTATGAGAACACTGCTTTTGTAGCGCCAGATAGTTTAAGATGCAACGCGTGGATTTTATCTTATACTGATCCTTCTGAGATGCGGTTTACAGTGTGTCAGGAGGTACAGGGACGAGGGATCAAAATCACATATAGCCAACGGTGGAAAGTACCTTTCGGCAATGCTTGCCGTGATTATCAGGACATTCTACGGCAGAAATGAAACTATGTTCTGGACGGTCTCATACATCGCCGCGTCAACGTTTGCCACATTTTACCAGATATACTGGGACCTTGTGATAGACTGGGGACTACTTCGGAAGAAATCGACTAACAAATGGCTGAGGGACAACTTGATTCTGGAGGATCATCATTACATTTACTTCATATCCATGGTATCGTATATATGAATCAATCTGTGTACGATCTTTGCTGTAAATTGCGTGTACATGAATTTGTTTGCATTTTTAGAGGTGATACCAGATCATTCAGCATCGCCCCGATTTTAGATTTGCTTTCTTCAGATTTACATTTGTATGTACATTCGAAAAAACTGAATTTCTGGCCGCAATATTCTTTTACAGGGAGTGAATATTCTTCTGCGGTTTCCCTGGGTCCTGTCAGTTACACATTTCCAGTTTGGTGGGTTGGATCCTCATTTCACAGACTTCCTTTTGGCCGCCTTAGAAATTGTTCGAAGAGGACACTGGAATTTTTACAGGTGTGTAAAGCCACAACCTTCTTTACTTAATGTTTGTTCATCTGCTTCATGTGAATAAAGACAAAAGATGGTCTAGACAATTACCCAACTTTCTGGTTTCTTCTCTTTAAATTATGCATTGTAGTTGAACACCGATTTTGAATGACCCGGGACACTCTGCTTAACGATGTGGTGATCAAGCAATATGAAGTCATTTCCTTCTCATTTTCCGGCTCCTGTTAGACATGCAGTGCATTCTCACTGGTTTCCAATATCAAGGTCATGCAACAACTTGACTTCTGATTGAATATTGGACCGCTGACGTATGATATGTGTAGGTTGGAGAACGAGCACTTGAACAACGTGGGGCACTACAGGGCTGTGAAGACCGTGCCTCTGCCTTTCGACCACAAAGAGAGCGGGTTCTAGACCTGTCACTCTAATGTTGAATGCGGGAAATTAAATAGGATAAATTAGACTGAAAATCGAGAAGCCAGTCAGAAGAGTTCAGCCTAGAGTCAGGATTCAAAAAACACGTGGCTAACGTAGGAATCTGATTTTTGCACTCTCGTAGTTACTGCACATGGACTTAAATATGGATGGGTCCTATTTACACAGCTTTGGGTGAAAGAATGCTTCAGCTAGTTAGCCCACTAGTCGAAGTCACTAGCAGAATTATTCTCATCTGCAGAAGGTTGTAGATGATGGAATCCACGTCAACAAAGCACGATGGGTCTCGAGATAGCAGACCTTCTTGTAACTTCAAGTTGCTGAAGCACTCTGGAGGAATCTGCTGCAAACTCCTTCAGATCACACGTCAAAGCACAACTAGAGTGGTAGGTAGGTAGTCGGAGTAGGCACCACAGTGTAACCTTCTGTTATTCTGTGGAACCTACTCTTCACCGTCGTAGTTTCCCTTGTCGGTAATGCAGTTTTATCCAGAATTTAATCTGGCCATTGCTGGATGCAGTCGAGATCACCAACGAGTTTCGGTTTGTGGCTCAAAGCTCTGTCGCTGTGTTGACAAGTCGGGGTTCAAACAACCTTCATGCAACTTGGAGCTGCTGAAGTTGGAGCGACGAATGGCTTGAATTAATGAAGGTGACGTAACGAAGAGCCAGCTTGAGAAGCAGATTTTTCAACTCAGTATTTTTAAGGTTGTATAAAAATGCATCATGACGAGACTTCGGCAGTTTCGTCACGAGTTTTTCCTAGGAGATGTGCGTCAGCGGTGAGCTTACGCGGGTCTCCTACCTATGAGGTGGAAGGCGATTTGCTCTGAGCTATGTTTTTGGAGCTAGCTCGCACCTCAGTGTTTTATGAGAAGTCGACCACTTGCTCCACTTCCATGTCAATAAATCATGATACATACATCAGTTCTACCTTTTATTCATCTATGAAGAACTGCGTACTTTTCATGTGATCGACAGTACAGTACATATTATTTCCAAGAGAGGCAGTCTTTTTGCACACTCTATCTCCCCTGCATAGTTTCAAAGAGCTTTATAAATATCTCGGAGCTAGCAGTACATGCCTGGATTAGTGTCTTCAATACTGGAAGTATGAACTGCTCACTATTATTAACGAGTTACTTGGATGGTCAAGATGAGTTTTGACCATTTAGCCGCACTAATCGACGTTTTTGCATGAGAGGGACTACGATGTATGTAGTAAACCCCCATTGTGAAATATCAGCTTGAGCCTTTCATAAAAACGAAAGAGCAATTTCTTTCAGCAGAAAATTGAGTGAAGGGGATGAGCAAGGACAACGAGAGAAAAGAGACGAGAAAAGCTTAGGCCGAAATGTGTCAAGGTTGGCCTAGCCCCAAGGCATATCGGAAGAGTAAGAAACCTATCTCTAGTGATAACCACTAGAGATAGGTAGATCCGCGTCATGCTAAATGTTCTCAGGTATGTACAAGAAGCAAACATGAGGAATCAGTGGAAAGTGGGACCTCCTGGACAGGCATCAATATATATATATAAAAAATTTGGACACATAATATCTAGACGTGGGAACTGTTCAAGGCAGGAAGAAACTGGCCGGTATGTGCAGCAGGTTAATATTCTCCTTTCTGTTGCCTGCTTCGATCAAAGAGAGAGACGCTTTCAATCCTTTCCTTTTGACCGTAACAGAACCTCTGCCACATTTCTGTTACGAGTCTGCGCTTCAGAATGAAGGGCATTTGCATCCTCGACACCGAATTTCGAGTCTACATAACTCTCTTCTCGTACTCCGCCTTGCAGCGTGGTAGAATCTGTATCATCAGGTGAAAAGACAGAGTGCAAGAGGGCAAGGTAGTTGGGGGTCAACAGGTTACTCTGCAGAGAGAAGTTCAAGGTTCGGCTCTGTAACATTCTTCTCTTCCACATCTCCTGCGTCTGCCTCGTCTGTAATAGGCTCCCTAGAAACACTAGGGAGCCTCTTCCAGGGTACCAAGATGAACTGCAGATGCCAATCATCAGGGACTTCAAATGTGGATTCTTCCAAAGATGTAGTGAGAGTATTCTAGACAGATGGGCAGTGCCAAAAAACGTTGCCTCAGCTTATCTGATTTATTCTACTGGGCCTAGAATTTCTTGGTTCATCGATAGGGACACCCCTTTCTTTACTCCTAAAATCTGAACCCTGCACTACCCTGAAACCAGACTATCACTAAGAGCCATAGTGAATACCAGTCATAGTCTATGACTAGTACTCTCCTTGAACCTTTCGTGCTTGCAATAGTTTTGGAAATGCCCAACGACGTAAAAAGTTAGTCGTACAACACATTGTAAACACCAAAAAAAATCGGATAGATTAAAGACATAGGATAAGGTAAACCTTGAACGCGTATCGACTCGTTTGATCAAGGAATAAACTTACTATGATCTTAGTCAGTTATAAGAGAATGAACCAACGTACATTTGTAAAAATGGTGATGGACGGTACTCGTGAATTATCAACCTGTCTACGTGAATTGAACATCTTCTTTCTCAAAGAAATAATTCATGAATTCACAAGGTAGAAGAGCAGGTAAATAACGTTGAGAAACCAACGAGAAAAAAGATGGTAATGGTAATGTAGAGGTAATGTACGTGTGTGTGTATATATATATATATATATATATATATATATTGAGAGAGAGAGAGAGAGAGAGCATTTTAGATGTTATGATAGGTTCTCTTCTAGTTACTTATTGAAAAGTTCAACTAGGAGAAATAATTCGAATCAAAGTATTTATTTGTCTAGAACGATGTCCAAAACACTAAGCTAAACGTTTGAAATTTCTAGGTTCAAAAATTTCAAAAAACGTCCCTTAATACTGACATCTAATTATAACCTACGCAATTTTTGAAAAATTAGTATGATTCATTCCTTATCAAACTTAGATAAAACAAGATGTTGAAGCTCTAGGTCATCATCTTAAAACACTAATCTAATATCATTAATTTCATGATAGCAATAAGATATCTCTTAAGAACAAGGTGATACACTCTTGTAAATCTTCAGCTCTCAAGTGAATTTTATATCTTTTAAATGTACATGGATTCATATGACTGGTTCAGGTTCAAGAGCTTCATGTGATGTGCTCATTGTAGTTGTCCTTGCCATGATACAACAATGCACATGGCTTAATATGTCTTACGTTGAATGATTGGACTCAGCCTAGTTTGAGACACCATGGTTACTAATAAGATGAAACATGAACATTGCTTTGCTTTGAAACTTTAGACCATAATGGTGAGAAGCGAATTTGTCATGATGTTTTCTGTACGAATCTTTCCCATTATTTAAATCTTCGCTATATCACAAGAAAATGTGTTTTTACTTGTGTACTTGAACCCTCATATGTCTCACCCTATCATTCTAACTGCTTTCACTTCATGTGTAGACTATCGTTAATGTGTATCAAGCTAGATCCCAGTAGAAGGTGGTAAAACAAATCTCAAGGGAAAAAAGCTTGAACTCACCAAATATTTAAACCACCAACATTTTGTAAAGAAAAAGCAAGAAATTATATTAAGAAGTGAAGGCGAGAATCTCAAATCTCATCAGGATGAAAATCTGCAAAAATCTCATCTCTCACCAAACGCTCAAGAACTAAAGCAATACGTTACTACGTAATTAAATCAATCCCCTCACACGAACCACACGAACACAACAGCGCACGTCATGGCTCTCCTTATTTGAATACCAAAGCTAGTTCCGATTTCCCGATAAGTCTCTGATTAACATTTGTCGTGTAGAAAATGGATATGATACATTTGATTCATCAATCAGTTCCAACCTGCCAAGGATGATGCAATTCTTGACCTCTGATCGCATTTCGAATCAAGATCTTGTTCGTTGTTTGTTGAGCTTCTAGGGGATACTTCTTGAAGTCTGTGTCCTCTGCTAATCCTTGTCAACATCATTACTTCAAGTCAGTTTGTCCAAAGATTATTGTTGTGTATTTTAATTCGAAATGGCTTCTCTGCTGATCCTGATGTGTGCTAAGAAAGGAAAGTCATTGCAGGACCGCAAAGACAATCTTCCTGTGACCGTTACGAGCTGGAATAAAGAGGGAGGAAACAGTTACAATCGAAAAAGAATGTACAGACACCCTTAACGAAATCTCAAGGCCTGAAATCTCTCCGAAAACCTTTATCAGCTTCATTGAAGTCACAGATCTCAAATTTGAAAGGCTCGCGAATGATAGCCCAAGAGAATCAACAGACGGTCAGATCTATGGCAATTCGAGAGCAGCTCCTGTATCACCGTCAATCACCGTCATCTTCAACGACAATGGTGCCAAGATAATCCCAATCGTAAGATACTCCTCTTCTTCCTCCTCACACATTTCATCTGCATTCGTAATTCTTTCTTCCGCGAGGCCAACATCTACCGCGTCCATATTGTCCTTCCCATCCATGTCGTCTGCACATTGTAGCAAATATTTCTAAGATTGATCCGTCAATCAACTTCAAACCGCCAAGGCTTATCCAATTCCTGACCTTCGACCGCTCTTCGATTCAGCATCTCGTCCCATGAGCTCACAGGAGGAGATACTTCTAGGCGTGCCCTCAATGTAAGTGACGGAGTGGGAGTAAGCAAATCATCAATGGCAAAATACATGAATACCTCGAGTGAATACTTGAGTCACTGCGTCTGGATTTATCAGTGCTGGCATCTCCACCTCCGTGGCATACATACACCGGCAGCTCGGCTGCAACCTCCTCCTCGTCCTCCACCACGGCCCCTTCCTCCTTCCCGAATAAAGATTGCCTCCACATCCCACATCAGCAGTTACATGTTGGCAACAGTAACAACAAGAAGTTTTGGTACTTTCCCAGCTAAAGCCCTAACGGTGCTCTTAGCTGGACTTTTTCACCAGTTGATTCCACTCTCCCTAGTTCATCTCCTTTGTACATTATAAGACCTATGACTCTAATCATGTGTGCACGAAATAAAACTTCATTGATGAGAATTTAATGTTCAACTTAAGGTTCATGTCAAGTTGTAGTGCAAATACCACCCATCTTTTACGAGCGTCATCAAATTGAATCCGCATCATGTTTATCCATACTGATAAGCTTCACATTTATTTCAGGTTCGACAAGCAAATCCAGTGACCAGTTTAAGGTACCACCAAAAGATGATGCAAAAGATGACCAAAAGATCTCTTCTCGAGGAAGAGTAACATTCACATCTTACTCGTGATAAAACTTTTTGGCGAGAAAGGCTTAAACTCTTGTTTCACTCATTTGGTGGAATTAACATTTTCTCTAGAAAGGAGAAAAAATTGCTTTTCCAAATCCATTAACCAAACTTTCTTAAGTTCAGAAAATTTGAAACGACAGTAATCCCATTTATCGTTCAATTTGGAACGATAAGGACTTCGCCCTCCATGGCAACGGACAATATCCGCTCATTGAGTGCCTTCGCGTAGAGCGGAGCCTTGTGGATCACTTCACAAAGATGACTGGAATTTATGAACTGTGTAATTCTGCCCAGCTTTGAGCGTGCGTTCATGCGCACAAAGCTGAAATCGAGAAACAAAACAAAACAAAACATCAGGATGAACGCCCATACATCCTACAGCAGAAAAACAGTTAACAAAAATGCTTCAAAATCGAAGATGAGAGATACTTTGGATCAAGGCCGTTTCACTGGCCTTTGAAGTCGATAGAACGCAAAGGCTCCAGACAGCAGGCCCACATGGCCAAAGGCGAGAAGCACATACTGTCTCAATTCTCAGCACCTTCTTTGCATAAACTTTCTCAATTTGCACCTCGACCAATTTGAAAAGTTTTTACAAACGAATCTTGAGTTCCGTATTGGTGCATGAGATTCAGATGACTATGGGGAGTACAGGGAGAAGTTATATTTCATAAGTGGAAGATCCAGTCCCTGCTGTTGTCAAAGGTAGACTCACTATACAAATACGCAATGATGTGGATAAGAAATCATACTCTTCCTCCCAATAAATTGTAAACGGTTATGCTCGAGTAGCTCATTCCAGTACCCGCTATGTCATTTTATCGTAAAGAAGGTTCCTGAATTCAGACTAGGAAGGTTAGATTTCTCTAACCATGTTAAATGAAGGTTCATCATCTCTATCATGTCCACCAATCTACCGCTCCGAGTTGCCATCCTACGGACAGAATCTCATATTCTCCTGAGGAGAGAATATAGTAACAAGGACTAAATTAATCTACTTCTATCACTTGAAGGAGTCATTATTAGCGGACCTTCAGCAAGTTTTGCCCTACCTAATCTCTTCTTACGATCACCTCTGAGCATAATATAGCATCGGGTCTACGACAATCACATCATGCATCCACCCATAGAATCATGACAACGACGGTTCGGACTTTTTTAACAATATTGATCAATTTTAAATTCTAATTTAACTTAACAGTAGATAACTTGACAACACAAAGTGAAGTCGATACTTGAAGGACCCCAGTTTTCATTCACACGTTTTCTGTTGAGTGTAATATTCCTGAGTGCTACCATCGTGAAGAATTAAAGTACACGCTGACGACTGCTTTAACTTTACTGACAAGAGATAGTACTCCGTATAGTACTCCTTTGAGCTCCGCAAAGTCCGCGCGTTCGTGGTGCTGCCAGTATGTTCGTAAAGATTCCGCTTGCGTGTTCAGTCTACTACATGTGAACTTGACATGTGTTCCAAACACTTTACCTTAGAAGTAGGGAACGGTACTGCACATAAATCACGTTCGTCCCGCGGCGCGGAGATAAGGATCTTTAAATGTCTTGTGAGTGTTGATGACTTGAACACATCGACCATGACGGCATCTCCCTCCAACACTTGTTGCCATTTCTGGAGATCATAATTGATGCAAAATCAACTCTCGAATATTGTAGAGTTTCATATTAGGCGCTAAGTTTTGCAAACACGAATAAATTATACTAAACATTTGTTTGTAAGTTTGAACTCGATGACACATCGCGTTGAAAATATCTCTTTCCACTTAACTGCATACATAGAATTTCACTTAAATTAGGTTCTTCATATCATAAGGTTGGCCGAAAAACGACATAACAAACAAACGAAAATAGAAATTATTTGGATGTCTACGGTTAATGGTATATCTTGATGTTCTGCACTTGGCGGCACTAAAGTTAGTAAAATAACCGTCCGCGGGTCGCTACTCCAGCTTTCATGGCGGAAAGAACTGAAACGTCGTAAAGAAGGTTTTTGTGAATGATTATACACGCATAATTCCAAATAAGATTTATGAGATGACTGCTATTAAAATTTGTCAAATTACTCGAGTCAAATGTTATCTGTCAATGATGCAAGATCTTACAGCATATTGTTACGAAAAAAATAAGCATCTGCTCAAAGAAACAGACAAGAGGTAACACGTACAAAGAATGAGGCTGGAACTTTGCGTTCACACTATCCACGTGATAGTAGTAAAAAATGAGGCTGGGACTCTGCGTATCACACTATCCACGCAGTGGTAGCTGTAAGCATCACGCAATCTCAAGGGCATCAAAATCTCCACAATCTAAAAACCATAAAACAAGCAAGCAAACACTATCAATCTGCATAATCGGCCATAAGAAGCATGAACGCATGAATCTTAACGATAGCAGGTTGACCTAACTTTGACACGTCATATTCAACCTGAACTTATCTAGACTTGTAAGAACATTCCGGACATGAGGGCAGTCGGATCAAAGCTGCGGTTTATAACTTTCAACTGTTTAGGATCATACGTTACAACAACTCACAGTGACTCACACTGCTAATTGTGCAGTCGATATGAATGATCCATAAGCTACACCTCGCAAGCAAACGTTTCTCCTGATGACTAAAGATCCCAACAAGGGATTAATCCTACGCATCTGGACTATCTATCATCTATTCCACCTCGGCCAAAGAGAAAGTCCATAGGGCGACATTGCTAAGTCAAGGCTGGACCTTCGACAACAAAATTCATGCACCTCCATCAACATTCTAAAAAAAGGTAATGAAACTCATCCTGCTCTCGATCTACATCTGCATAAGTACATTCAATCTCACTTCTATTACTCGAACCATAAGCTTTAAGTAGACTTCACAAATGAGTGAGATCTCTCAGCACTCCAACTCCACCTATATACTACAAGTTCAAAGAGAGTTGAAGGGATGAGTGAATGCGGAGACACTACCTCAAGTGATAGTGACAGCCCAACGTAAAGTCGAAGAAATACACATCTAACCTTCAACCAAAAACTATGAGCTCGAAGCAATGTAGAACAGATGAGTAAGATATAGAGAAACTTCACCTTGAGCCGTCAAGGAGAGCTCACAGTCGAGTAGAGGGCTTAAGTGAAATATGTAGTCTGAGATTAGTACAAAGACGTCCAACTACATGCTCACAGCATGAGAATCCGAACCGACTGTCGAGGTTGGAACCAGTTCAGGCTCTTCGTACATGATAACTGCTGCAACAACACGACGACCCCGGTCCGCAAGATTACAAACTGGAGACTCCCATAGGTCGTACTTCCCTAGATGGGAAGCAGATTTCCTGATAAACCGCAACACAGGGAGGTCCAGTAGCACGTATGTTGCAACGAACAAGCAGCGACCATGAAAGCCGTGGGTGGAGACTTTCGAGTGCAGGCGTAAGTTCGTCCATTAGCTGCAACCGCTTTCGGCTGGAAAGTCGAGTCAAGAGATCCAGGAGCTGCAACTAATCTTGTTCCAGTCAGAAGTCTAGAACCTTCATAGTAGTTAAAGTGAAGTCGAATTGTACTTCTATCTCGTGAACGAGGAAGGACTAGGTGGGACCAATGTGGTTAGCATGTCTCAACCTCTGACAGGATGTTCATGTAGGGAACCGACTGCTAGGATTGGGTGGATGTGAAAGAATCTCCAAGTGTTACATATTGACAAGATTACTGACATCAACTGAACTGAGTGACTCCGCAAGTATGCCTACAAAACTCCCTACATTCTTCATTCTGCAATGTACAGCTACTAAGCTACTACACTAAATCAATATTCAGCTACTGATATCAATAAATAGGCGTCCTTGCATAGCACCGTATTTTGAAGCTCAGTCAGTCTCTGCAGCTCCGCCATCACCCGTTTCCTCTGCCGTTGATGTGGAAACGGATTGCTCGACTTCTTTCTTGGCGTCCTTCCGCAGATCACTTTTATTTCCCTCAACCGTCTCGGAAGTCTCTCCTGCATCTACATCCTTCGCGGCTGTCTCACCAGAAGCATCTCCTGATTCTTCGGGTCCATCAGAATCGGCATCCTTATCTCCGTCCCCGCCCTCACCCAGAGAAGTCTTTCCTTCAGGAGAGCCAACCGCCGTCTCCTCCGCTTGTGCTTCGTCTTCTCCTTCTGCAGGTGCATCTGCCTCCGCTGGCGCCTCCTCGTCGGTGGCCTCCTCTGCCAACCTACTCACTTCTTGCCGGATGAGAAGTTTAACGTGTGCCTTCTTTACGCTTAGGTCAACATTGAACTTCTTCTCTGCAGACATTACAGAAACAAGTCAGGCCGATCACATAATACGAAAGGTCCACTTCTCACGATACCAGATGTGCAATTCTCACTGTATTTACTGGCAATAAATAAGTTCCTTGTCACTCACCAAGCTGTATGACGATGTCCATAAAAGTGACCTGAAGACATCACGTTCGAAATCTGTTAGATGTCTGTCAATTAATCTACAGAAGATGAAGTAGGAAAAGAGTTTAACAGAGGCTTTGGAACCTCCTTCTGCTGTAGTAGAAGATCAGCATCCCGAAACCCGTTCAGATCTAGACAGGTCATACCTTGCTAAAATCCGAAGGACTCAAGTCCTTCAGAAGGTCCCGAATCTCATTTTGCAGCACCTCATCGGTCGGAATATCGCCATTCTTCTTCTTCTTGATGGCTTCCTTTCCTGAATAAATCCAAAAGTCCCAGACATTTTAAGACACAATATCCGAAATTCACAAGAAAAAGAAAAGAGCGGAAGGCAGAGAAGCCTTCGCAATTCAAGAGCGTGAAAAACTTATTAGCGAATACATTATAAAATAACTTGTAATTCCATCTGATCATATTATGTTTTCAAAGGAACGTTGAAAAAGCAAGCACTCGTAAAGTCCACATGAAACTGGTAATGAGATTCCACACTTAATACAAACGAATGCAACAGCCATTCGTGAATCCCCAAATGTTATTCGGGCATAAAAAAACCGAAACTATATGACGGTCGATTGGCCAAAAAATTGCGAATTTAAACATAAACCTATTGTTTCGCTTTAGCTACCTTCCAAATGATTGTCCAAGCTCTATTCAGAAGAGGGAGGACAATGGACGACACTCACAATGAGAATATTGTGCAGGACACCTAGGGATAGCTATTGTTTATTCAAATCCATTGACCATATCAACTTTGAAATCTACCCTGAGCTAGGTAAGTATTACGAGCAATAGGAACTGGTCCTTACCTCTTCTGCCGCCTCTGCCGGTGGCCTTCTCAGGGTTCTTCTCCTTACTCTTTTCCTTCTCTTTCCCCCTTCTCTTCCTTTCTGGAACTTCCTTCTCTTTCAACTTTTCCTTCTCCCTCTCTTTCTCTTTCTCCTTCTCAAGAATCTCTTTCTCTTTCAGCTCCTTGTTCTTCTTCCTGGAGCCTTTAGTGTAAACCTTGTCAGGTGGTTTGCTCGTACTCCTAGTAATGTCTGGAGATGATGCCTTCGGTATCTTCACTCCCAGTGAAAAGTCGTTTGCACCGGACTTGGACTCACTCTTCGCTGACTTCTTGGGACCTTGATCACCCTCAGACTCTTCTTCATCGTGGGAGACCTTTTCGTCTACGTCATGTGCTTCATTCTTAGAAGCCTTTGAAGCCTTCTTTTGAGGTTTGTGCTTGGCTTCATAATCTTCGTCGTCGTCGTCGTCTTCTTCTTCCGACTCTTTGAAAGTCAATCGTAACCCTTCGACCTCCTCAACCTCCAAATCCTCGTCCCCGCTGCTGGCCTCAGCATCTAGGCCATCACCATCAGATTCACTTTCATCTTTCTTCTTCCGGCCTCGTCTCTTCGAGGTTGAATCTTCTATCTTCCGCCGCTGATGGCCGGACATAGATGCATTAGAAACAGAAACATACACGTTTCCGCACTTAGAACGTTCTCGATATTTAAAACCTCTATAACAGGGAGAAACAGCCAAGTTACCTTCTTGCCCGGCGTTGCACCCCCTCTTCCCCTTCCAGGAGTCCTACTTTTGCGCTTCTTCTCTTTGAGCTTCTGTGTAGTACATAGCAACACAGAACAAAATTCCAAGTATGATTCTCGTAAACAATGCGCATGTTAGATGCCACGTGTGACAAACACTGGGCTGGACTTTGAAATAGCTTCTTCTCTATGTACTACGTGTCTTTTGAATTGTACTTTTCAGTTGCCTTGAAACTAACTCGCGACCACTGAAGGGCAGACATGACCAGGATAAATAGGGAAAAAAATTCCTGCCTTGAAACTTAGAATTTGAAAGTGGAAGTACCTGCTCCTTTTCTCCGAGAGAGACATCAGTCGTTTTGTGCGGGGATTCAAGAAATTGGAGCACTTTGACCACCAGCTCTTCCTGGAAAGAGATACACCATCAACAAAAGAGAAAAGGGGAAACCCACAGTGCGAGGTGATTTGATTAAAAGTAACACGGGAAGCAAACAGACAAAGGTCAGGAGGCATGGAGCCATTACCTTTTTTCCTGTCTTGGGAAGGTGAAGGTCTAGCACATCAATGAGTTGCCCAAGGCCTTCTTTCGTATATCTCTCCAGCTTCTCCTTCACCTTGTTCTTTTCCTTCTCCTGCATTGGTACGTGTTCAGTCGCAGGACACTAAAAAAAAACCTCTCTTCGAAAACGTTAACAATATAAACCAAAGTGTATGAGATTAAGATAGCCAAAAAATGAGCCACACAGAAATCAAAGAAGCTGAAAGACGCTGATGGAAGACGCAAGTGTAGGCATGGCCTCGAGTTCTAATTCTCAAGTATAAAAAAAAGGCCACAAGAAAGATGGTTAAGCGACTCAAAGTGTTACCTCATTTTCTCCCCAAACAAATCCCGAAAATCGGTATATATTATACTTCAGCGCGTTAGCCTGATACGCATTGAACGAAGATTGTTAGCGACCTCACGAAACCTTTAAACATGTGGGTGCAAAGAAAAATGCCTGATAGCTTCAAGAACGGCTTGGGAAGGTGGTAACATATCAAAATCGACCATGAATGTGGACTTAAGGGGTTGTTATCACTGACCTTTCCACGCTTGTTGTACAGTAATGAATGCAACATGTTCAGAATCTCGTCCCCTTTAGCCCGCTTCCCTAACTTGTATGCGACTGCGAGATGAGAACAAACTGAAGTTCAATAACACAAGCGGATTGGAAGACATTCACACCATACACTGAAGTCCATATGGAAAATAATGGACCTGAACAAACAACTTAATGGTATCTTCGCAGGGGCAAACCAATTACACAGGAAAGACCACAAGCTTCTAATGGAGTCGAGAGAAAGACATCCAGCGACCTCATGCAAGAACGAGAGGACCACTGGCCAAAACGTAAATCAGTGCCCTGCTGTGTGAAAATATTGGTGATAGATGTTCCAACAATAGCGAGAAGAACCAACTAGACAAGCATGAACTACTGGGAAGAACTGTGGGCATGTCTGCCCGAGCGTGACCAACAGACTGTTCAGCAGAATATGGAAAATCAGATGACACCCGCCAACCGAGCCTACCGTTAGGAATGTCCATGAGAGGAGTGCCAGTTCCCTGCGTAATGAAGAAACCACAATAAGATCGTGCTTACTGCGTCTAAAAAACAAAAGTTCACCCAATAATATAAACACAACCTCGAGCAGGCTTTGAAAACTTGGACCGGACTCTCCTCTTTCAAGCCATCTAGATTCACAAAAAGTCGGATGAAATGTTTCACAGCTTGCTGCAGTGCTTACCTGTTTAATGACAAGTTCTTTTTTCCCTTTGTCGACAGAGGCAACGAACCTCTCGATAGATTTCCTTTCTCGGGCTGGCCTATCCCTCTCTGATAGAGGGGTGACCGGAGGCTCGCGCTTCTGTCGAGACCTCTTCTTAGTTTCTTTCACTTCCTCCTTTGGTGGTTCTTCGGCTTCCATAGGCTCCTCTATCGGCTTCACTTCTACAGTACTTCTCTTAGGGCGACCACCCTTTTTCTTGGGATTTAAAACTACACCAGCCTTTAGCTCTCCTTTCGGCACCGTCTTCTCCTCCACCTTCTCTTCTATCTTCTCGTCAATCTCCATTGAGACCTTCTGCTCTGCTACTGGCTTCTTTGACTCGTTTTTGGAAGCATCCGCGTCGATTTCCATATCATCTTTTGCTTCGGCTCCCTTGGCCTCGTCCGGGTTATGCCCGTCTTTGACCTTTGTTTCTGTAGGATCAACTTTAGCATCTCCAGGATTTTGAGAGTCCCCTTTTATTACCATGCTCGATTTATTGACCTCTTTCATGGGCTCCTCGGTCCCTTTTTTGGCACCTGTTGATTCTTTCGCTACAACCTCTGCTGCTTTAGTGTCAGAGGATATTTTCGTTTTGCTCTCTCCTGCAACCTCGTCCTTCGAAGTTTTGCTTACGCTGACCGGACCTTTTTCTGAGCTATCATCTGTACTCGACAACTTCACCGGGCCTTCTGACTTAGCATCTTCGTTGGGTTTTTTCCCGTTGGGAGCTGTCTCCTTAGCTGTCTCAGCCATGGCGCGAGACTTGCTGAGTAAAAACCCTCGGCCCTCCTCTACTTTAATCCAAAAGTGGGTTCTCGCAATAAAGCGATATATATCCAGCCGAATAGATCGCCGAATCACACCTTCAGTGCTTGCGTCCGGAGTTCTGCTTCAGGCGCACACTTGCGCTCGAGGAGCTACCAGGTGCGAGCTCGCCGCACTCTTAGAAGAATCCAGGGGTGAAAATCTCTGACGATGCAATTTTTAAAACCAGGCACAAAAACAACTATGCTCCAGTTACTCCAATCCCTGCTTTCACCCTAATAGATTCCCACCATGTTCGACTGCAAGGCCACTGGTTTTATGCGACCAAAGACCCTGGTTGATAACAACACGGCACGATCCCTAGAAAGCTCTTGGGCTTTTCAAAACGTGCAGACTGTCCGCTCGCGCCCCGCCCTCAAACCCCGGGGTTTCTTCCTTATCCTTTAAGCTGAAAGCACCTGCATTACACAGACTAGCTGGCCGCACACTGCTTCTCCCTATCTCGGTCCAGCAGAAACAGCACACGCTCCAATTGTTCCAGCCTTGATCCGTAGTACAAAAACCGCCAGTTTTCCTAAAGAGCGACCCTCTTATCGTCCCTGCTGCGTCCTCCAACGCTCGGCTTAGTCCATCTTCGCTGCCACGTTCTGCACGCTCAACGCATGCGGTGTAAGCGTCGCCTCGAAATTACGCAAGCCTGTTCACTCATCAGTCGTTGCACCAGTCCGGCACCCCTCAAACGGGAAAACAAATAATCGACCCCCCAGAAAAAAGGCCTTCTAGAACGTACCGGCTCTAGTACTCGGGGCTCTCAATCTTCGTGAGGTGGCGCATCCATTTCTGGTTTTCGTTAATATGCGGAATCATAGATAGGTAGATATTGAAAACCCCCTTCGAGCTTCGAGGTTGTCGACGCCGCTGGTGCCGACGCGACGACAATGACGCCCTTGCTGCTACTGCTGCTGCTGCTGCAGGCCGGGGAAGGGAGGAAGAAAGAAGAAGATGCAGCAGAAGTGGCCGCACCTCTTGAGCAGCGTTCGAGGGAAGACCAGCTCCCGGTTTCTCGCGCTGGCAAATATATGCAGCACAGAGCGCACTCCTACGCCCAACAGTGCATTTCGTCCGTCGCTGCAGCAGAGGCCTCGCGCACATACATTTCAGACAACAAGAGCCTAGAGTCGCTTCCCACCTCTTCTTCCCGTCATAATCTCCTCCCGCCAGCTTTCTAAATTTTTTCAAGCTTCAAGAATCCCCCGCATTTTCCCATCGCAGCGCATCTGCAACCCTCCCCTCCCAGTCCTCAAGCGCGAGCTTCTCCGGTCTTTCACGACTCGAGTTTTACCCGAGTCCGGCCCCCCTTCTTTCGATCTCGATCCGCCGGTTCCCGCCCCCATCCGCCGGATCTCCCGCCGAACTGGTCCCCAGCCTTCCCTGCGGATAAATGATTTCCACCCTGGCTTGCGTGCACCTGGAGCGTAGTGCCACACTCGGGCCCTCTACACGGTTAAGAACCCTCCTCTTGGAGCAGGGGCGTAACGTTTATGGAGCCATCACATTGATGTCTTCCCTCCCCGCCCCGTCTCCTTTTGTTTGAAGATGCGCTCGTTGACTGTCCATGTAACCTGTCAACCATCGGTTGTTTTGTCGATCCGGAGGTTTAAAGTTAGAGCTGGTTGGGGTTCAGATTTGCGCTCAGTGGACCCTTCTGTGTCGGGGCCACCTGGTCAAGGTCCGTGGAGTCTTCCCTTCCACGTGTCTCCTCCTCATTTGCTCCTCAGTATTCTCCACTTCCGCCCTCAATGACCACATTCGAGCTACTTCCTTCTTCTTACCTGGTTCGCACGACCATCCGTTCCCTCCCTGCGCCGAACCAGCTACGGTTCTGTAACGTTAGACGCTTAGAGGGCTTCGAGGCTTCGAGCTGCTCTAAGTGTGTAGAGTCCGTAGACTCGAGCTGTAGCTTCGATTCTGACACTGAGAGAACATCTGTTAGTATCATGTCTTCAGTTGTGGACTTCAGCGGGCTTCCATGTGAAGGCAGCTACGGTTGTTATGACCTCCGACGGGTTGGCCTCATCATACGTGCAAATCTGTGATCATACGTCCCTTGGGGGAGGGGGGGAAGACATGCTTATGTAAAGGCGCGAGGACTCTAACGCCATGAACTAACTCCTCGGGTAACTCCTCGACTTGTGCATTTCGTTACATGTGTCGACCATACGATGTTCATCCCAGAATGTTCGACTTTTATTAGAAGCGCAAACTAGGTACAAACATTTTCACGACATCTCGCAATTCAATTTAATTCTTAACATAATCCAAATTGAGTGTCATATTTTTTATGGTTAACCGTGTAATAGGGAGTGTTCGTTATCCTAGAGTTAGCGGGAATCATTCTCTTCGAAAATGGAATAAATAACAATCAATAAGATTCAAAGTTATTCATTATTATGTAAAGTATATCATCCATGGTGTAATCAAACATTCGTTGGCCCAAATATTGTTGGGACTAGAATAATTATTTATAAATTTGTATATAAAATGATATTTTTGTGTGTTAACATCATCATACCGAAAAAGTATTGGACTTGTACCCAACAAATTTAAACAAAATTATTTTCCCAAACATATAGAAGAATTTGTTCAACATTTAAACATATCATACAAAACTTATGTGGTATCCTAGAAGATGAAATGATAAAGCAAAGGCATGATGTACAAACTTCTCCTATGTTTTTTTGATAATATATCATACTGTAGTATTCATCAATGATATGAGAATTGCTACATATGGTATTTTAAAATTAAACACGATTCAACTGAAATTTTTAGAATGCTAGTCACACAAAGTAACACAGAGATTTTAATTAAATTTATAATTAAGCTAAACTCTGTTCAAATCATGCGCTCCTTGAGTAAAATAAATCCTTATATTTAGTGCATGTATTCTTTTAGCACACAATATATGTCATGATTTATACATAATGACATGAAATTCACAACATATAGTATACCTTCTTTGGTACATTATTTTCAAGGAGATATATAAAACTGAGAAGAGGAGATGTGCACAACAAGTCGCCTCATAGTCAATTTAAATACGTAAAGAAGTTCTTGTATATGCGATTACCGTATCTAGCTTATTTATGAAATAATAATCTTCGGTATTTTTTTGGGAAATTTTTTTCAGAAAATCAATAAATCATCCAAAAAATATTATGTAAATATTAAAATCACTTTTGAAAACTTCAAAATTAAAATAATTTGAATTTTCTTGAAATATAATAAAATCTATCAATATTAATATATACTGATACAATATTTAAATGCATATACATGTTTTCAAGTAAAATATAAATTATCAAATGAATATTCAAATTCTGCGACTATGGGAAATTGTTATCTAAAAGACTCGGATATTTTCAACATCCTTAAAAATCTGCAAGTTTTTGCTAACAAAAGGTACCAATCATCTGTGGAAAATTATCTCAAATATTGTGAATGGAAGGATTATATTTTAAAAATAAATCTTTTTGTAAACAATTCTGGATAATGTAAGAAGAAATCACCTGTTAGCTTAAATTATTATTCATCATTGGACAATTTGTGAAAATTGTTCTTTACGTTTTTCAATTAAAATTTTATACTAAGACCTTACAAAGCTAATTCGTTTCAAGATTCTGTAAATTTGTGTGTATATAACCCCGTGGATGTATGTGATAGGAAATTTTGCATTTATAATTTTTAACTTGTCTTCTTTGTCAATATTATATATATGTGAAATCTCAACATAGCCATTTGCTTCTTACCTCGACTTTTCCTTTTGCTGATGTGCATGAACTAGGGAAGTTATCTCAACAGCAGGATGTAAGATGTTGCACCCCTTATGCCCATGAGATTGCTATACTCAATCAAATGATTACCACAACCACACAGCAATTACGAAGCTTGTTACGAGGTGGCAAAGGCTATATTGGATTACTTTGATTTTTCGTTGGACTCCTTGTTTGGCTAGATTGGACGTCACTGATTAAATTCTCATTCATTCATCTGAAAGAATAGGCTTTTGAATCCTGTGATATGTTCTTAAATTTATATCTTTTTTTCTTACTTATCACAAGTTTGATTTATCTTCAACTATCATATATACTCACTAAAATACGTAAGTTCAAGTACATGTATAACAAGGATCTTTACGTTCAAATAACCATTCGTTCAACATTGTTCACCATCTTCTTTCACTTTTAGGACCGAAAGGAAGAAGATCATAACATCGACACCGTAATTTGTCGATTTGATCCAGCCCCGGTATTTCACGACACGCCCTTGAGACACGTAGGGATAAAAAAATATCCGGGCCCTTCCTAGGCAGGCACCGTCCGACAAAAGTGTGACGTTGGATTAAAAACTGCAGACTAGGTTCCACGTTCGGCAGAAAGTGGGGTGAATATTCACGGGATGCGAGGTAACTATGGTGCAAAATGATTCGCAGAAACCAATTTGACACGAAGACCGGTGGGCTCGGTTCAGCTTCCATGGAATGCGGTGCGGAACAGAGCTGAAGTTCAAATATACAGAACACTCGTCTTAATTGATACGATAAAGCAGGGCTGTACCTCCACGACAATGAAGAACTGCCCCTGCTGCCCGAGCATCAGGTTGTCGTGGTTACGATGGACACTTCATCCCCGCCCCTCATGTCCGTCCAAAAGAAGTCCTACTAATTTAAATGTCCTGGAAATGAATATACTCGGGAATCTGTTCGTCTCCGGTCGGGTGACGCTCCCAACTTGTACGGCCACCCAGAAGTTTATCACTGTTCCTGGCTTGAAGTGCCATCCTCTCATGCAGATTTACCCGTACACCGAAACTCCACTACAGGTCAAAAGCACCGGTCCAAGTTTCCAACGTTCACAACCCTCACCACATCGAGACCGCCGTGGTAACATGTTTGAAGTTCCAAGGCACGAACCATATCTTACGAGGTAAGCGACACAGAAGTTCACTGCGCGGTAGCTATCTTCGTTTTGACAACAGCGTTTCTCCGTGACGTGGCAAGCGGATCTTTGATACTTGCCTTTTGCGTCGTTGCATCGCATTGTTCTTAAAGGAGCGGATGGTTCCGGTTTAAGAACTGGAACGTCGCTTGAAACCTATAAGAACAACAGGAGCTGGAGATCTTGCTCTCGAGGGGATATGTGAAAAGCTTGGAAAAGATCCTAGTAACAACCCAAAAAGTGATTGGGATGCAGCCATGGAGGCAGTTATAATCGGCAGCACTCCCCGTCTTCACTCAATATTCTGAATATTTATCCTTCATCTTATAAACACATCCAAGACTTTCTACCAGTGGCTGCACTTAAGAATCAACCCAGAGAGTATATTCTCACATAGCCTTTGTTACAAATCATCTGCCTGAAATTTCGCACGGGAAGTCGTACGCTACCATCCTGAATAGACTGAAGGAAAGATTGATTGTTTTATGCCCTCTAGGTATTCCACATACGGACATAAAGATCATGGGAACGCCAACCCAGAAAGAGGGGGCTCAATATCGAGAACTAGATAGTGCAACTAACCTGCCTCGAATTAAGCACAATGTTGTTACCCTACATTTCGTCTCGTTTGAGGAGAAAAACGATAAAAAAAGAAGAAGAGGTCTCCTATCATGAACTACAACAGGAGTTTAGAGAAGATCAAGCATAGAAAGCGAGGCAAAAATCACGCCATACTAGATATGTAGGCTTATAAAACCTGCACATATATGTTGCAAAGGTTACTTAGATCTCTATAAACTCACACAATGACCCAGATCTAATTTGATTATTACTGAGCACTTACTTTTTAAAGTATAGACATCAATCCGTTTTCAGACCAGACTATCTGACATTGAAAAGTCTTGGATATTGCGACTGAACTCTCTGTTGACAAGGAGGTTTCCACAAGTGATTATGAAGCACATCAGCAGGCAAAAAAGGTTCTACTTTTGTATTATTAGGAAATTTTTGCCTACAAATGTTTTTATATTGCTAACCACATCAATATTACATCACCTAAGTCACCTCTCCATATTATACATGTACAAATGTATCACACCGAAAGAATTTGTTCCAGATCTCATTTACATAAAATAAAAGAGTGGTTGACATCAAAATCTCTGATAGTTCAAATTAATAACATGTAAGTTTTAAGAATCCGAGTCTATTCAAAAACTCTTGTTGAAAATTCGTGCTAAATTTCGTTCAAAGTAAAGATTTTGGACAGTTTTAGGATTGTAGAAGTCTTTCTAGATTCTCTTTAGAGCTTTCCCATGTTTTACCTGTTTGGAATCGTACACGCAAAACCGTGATAGGGGTCTTCCATTATTATGTGTTATTTTACTGTGTGCATGAAGCTTCATTGCCTTCTTCATAAATGTGATCTTTTCGCAGAAAAAGATGCTGCTAGGCTCCAGTTTGTGGGCACCGAGTGGGTCGAGAGTAACCATGGGTGTGAACCGCGTTCACCGAGGCTGCTCGTTCATGTGCCTGTCACACACGGCCATATCTTGGTACAATCCCCTGACGACCCCCGGCAGTTTTCCAACTCATAAGTTTGAACGAAAGCGAGATTCATGAAACCTGCTACTGACGGTGACTAATTCTCCTTGGATTCCCTTTACCTTTTATAGCAGGTAACGCAATCGAGACAAAACCGAGCTCGGTCTCGTTGACAATTGGTTACATCATCAAGCAATTATTGTAACTATATTTACACCGGCAGGCGTTCTACAGGCCATGACCGGCAACTCTGACATGCACCTATTCGAAAGGGGTCGCCGGCGGCCCGGGCAAATCCGTGCGTCCTAAAGCGCCATCAGCCGGTGGGAAGACGCTGCGGATGTTAGACGAAGGTCCTGCTTTGCGGCCGGATCTGGTTCTGTCCACAGGGACCCGATTTCGTCATATTCTCGACCCAGAGCCTCCCGCGAGAGCAGGCGCCTTTTCGCTGCCTGTGGCATAGCGCGCGCGCGCCACTAGCTCCTCTATACGAAGACCGTCGCGCGGAGGCTGCAGGCATTCAAAGTCGGTCCGGCATCCGCAGACGGTCGATGACCAGGCACCGCTGCTGGGAATGAGAGAGCGTCCGTTCGAGCATCTGGAGCATTGACGCCCTGAGTTCGTTTGGTGCCATCGAGGCCTCCGGTCTTGATTGGCCAAGCCTTCGGGGTCTGTGTCGGGAGACACAGACTCGTGACGCAGGTTGCCTTGTGCGGGGTGAGGGACGATTGGCTCGAGAGGTGAAGTCGTCGATTGGTGTAGAAATCCGCAACCATGGGAGTTGGATCGAACCAATATGACGAGCTGGACCACCCTCGCATGGGAGCGGTCCGTGAGGAATCCTTGAGAGATCCGTTACTTGTGAAGCACGAGCTTGGCAAAGTATGTCACTTACCTCGGCAGTTTTGACCTCAGTACCGTGCTTACGGAACTCTCGTTTCTGAAGCGTGCTCTTACTTAACCTTTGGTATCGTAGATATTCGCGAGTCTTGGATTTGTTAGGTGTCTCCCCCTTCGCTCATATACGACGCAAACTTCGTTGCCGTTCTGTGATTTGTGATAAGGCGTCAAACGGGGTCAAGAACGTTATTTTCGAGTTAAACGATGTTATCACCCATGTTGATGCAGTCAATTCAGCACCACGATATTGTATTAGAGCCTCATATGTTGCAGCGCTTGGTTGTCAACAGTAAATGTTAGGTTGTGCCGCTATCGTCATTAAATTCTTCACTGGGAGTTCTTTCCAATATCTGTCAACAGACCGAAGTAAGATACCAAGAACTCTTCGCAGGATTGCTTGCGAAAGTTCTTTCGAGCAGAGAAACCGTTCCAGTGTTCACATGATCGATCTGAGATTAATATCGGATTGACCTTGAAGTAGGCTTAAAATTTTTTCTGGAAGAGGAATTCCAAAAGGGCCAAGCACATAGTGTACTGCTTTTACCGTTTAACTGGTAAACTAAGGGTCACTAGCTTCAGAACACTGCAGTGTTTTTGTAATGTGCAAAAGAAAAACGCAGAGTTCAGCACCTAATCGGACTCTTATGGACTCCTTGTACCAGGTCAAGAGATCCACTTTTGACTTACCTGACAAAAGCTTCATATATGGGTATTGCAATGAACGGAATCCTGAAGGTGTCAAAGATGGTGCGTACCGTCCTTACTTTCTCTCAGGCTTTCAAAGAAGCCTCATTGATATTGTCCCTAGACACCTCAGAACACTTCTATTCGCTGTGTCTTTCAGGCAAATGGAGAGAGTAGAATAGCCCTACTTTCACTTCAGTCAAATCAAGAGTAAATGGAATAACGATTCCCAGGACTGGACCTCTTGTCATAGTCAAGTAGTTCTGCCTTAAACCATGTGGACATCAGGGTAGCAGTGGGGGCAGTGTCTAAACGAAAGACAGAACTGAAAGAACACAATACACACGCAAATATAAGCCGGTTGTAGAGCAGTTGAGGTTTCATTTCTCTTGGAAACAAATTATCTCCTGTTGGACATCCGTGTACCTATTCATCGTAGTTATCTTGCGTTGTCCGCAGTCATTCAGCACCCCGACAACGAGCCCAATATTGAAGCTTCTCTACTTGGGGCTAACTGGATTGCCATGAACAAGCTTGCCACAAAGAAGTGAGTATAGGTCAAGCTAAGTTCGAAACGCTCTCCTCCCAACTTTTGCAATTTCTGAATCAAGTGACATGTGTTGTCCTGAAGATCACCTTTTGAACTAAGACAACTGATTCACACTCTTTCTTGAGAATGTGAAGGAATTGTGCAACCTCTCCAGAAGTTAGGAAGTGTCGAGAAGCTAACTACATCCGGCTACTTCCGAGGACAAAGCTAGTGAGTAAAACCAGGGACGATGGTCTCGTTGCCACACCTTTTAAAACGTGTTGCACATTTCGCTGTCGATATCTCGCAAGGGTATACAGCAGTATCAGTGAGACATATGTGCCTACATCTGCTGCTACATATGCTGTTGTGTCTTGTGACAGGCTAATCGCTTCAAACTACCTTCGGAGATCAACCCGAACCACGTATACGGCATTCAGGGAGTCAGGTAATCATTTTCACAGAATCTCAGATCTCAGTCAACTCCTGATGGAGAAACATCATCAACAGTTATCTTTTAGCTGTGACAATCGGTCAATCTTATTGACTGAAGTTAGACTACAGCGTGAAGGTTGGTGAGTTTCTGTGGACTTTTTTTGGCTAGTGTCTTTCGTTTTTCCATATATAACACGACAGGCTATGAAAGAAGAAGCCGAGAGTATAGCCGTACTCTAAAAGGCTCGTTGAATATAAAGATCAAGAAAGAACCAGAAACTTTGCTGGCCTTGCATTCATACTTACTTCATCCCGCAGAGATATCCCAATGGAGAACATCATGACACAAGCCAATGCCAACGAGTGGATTGAGATGAATCGCTACCTTAAATCCATTCATCCCGAGCCTTTTGGTTACGTTCCTCCATCATTGGTGGTTCAACCTACACATGCATCTCTGCTCAGAGTTGAGGCTGCGAAGAAATTGAGAAGAAAACCAGTCACCAAAGAGAGGTTTACGATGAAGAAGTTCCAAAACGTTCCAAAGCGTATTGATGATAAGAACACAACTTCACTTCTTAGAGACCATCCGGAGTTTTTTTACAACGGACGAGACCGCAAATGGCAGGACGTAGCGTAGGTGAGCTCACAGAATATGTGCAAGTTGTCATGTGGAGTGTATCTTTCCTGCTAATGGTTGCTGTAAGTCCAAGACAGATTTCCTCTTTTTCTCATGGTAGGACTTAAAAAAATAATCTTCAAGACTGAGAAAAGCTGAGCCCTGGCGGTTCGTAGAGGTCATGTGCATTCACAGATGACAGGTAGGCTGGGTTATGGCTACCGCCGCCGTCATGAATAAAAGAGTGCCACAATATTGCAACAGAGCAGCATGTCCACCCAAGGACATTAGTCTAATTGGGGTAAATCCGAAATTATTGTGCTTGAGTACATGGGAAAAAACCCATCGAAAGCAGGCATTAATGGAGATTTTGGTGTGGGTGTAAAACATAGGCTATCTGGACAAGAAGCCCAAAAGACATGTGGATATTGACCTTTTTGTGGGGATAAGCCCCCAATTATTACCCGCGCTCTTGCCGACTAGTATGATAACATCGACTCACTCTACTGCTGGTCTTATTTGACTTTCCAGATTACTCAAGAGTCTCATCAATGTTGATGGCATGAGCAATATCAAGATTCCAAATTTCATTCACCTTCTATTAATTTGGTGTAAAGAGTTTGATATGACCTTGTAGTCGAGCAAACTGCCTAGTTCAACCAATTTTTTGCAGTTCAGTAGGATACATCGAACTTCAAGCGTGAAGCAAAATCACCTGAAGTTTAACAAGCTAGTTTGATATAGAGTAGTCTCCCGTTTCCCAATTACGCAACTTGAACCTAGGAGGATTTAGCCTACTTAACGAGTAGGTGTTTATTTTAGACGAATCTCTTCCTTATAATTTGATTCGGCTGCAACCGGAAATGCCTAAATGAGTCCAGCGATGCAATATACTAAAGAAGTTGAGAAACACGGATGCTCCCAATAGGCTCTCTAGCGCTAGAAAAGTATGTTAGTGAAACAACTTTAAGAAATTTGTGATACAAGTGGGAGCAAATCCTAGAGAGATTTTTGTAATATTTGATGAAGTTAAAGAGAAGATTTCACTGCTCATTGATGTTTCACCAAGATTGAATACACCATTTATATTTGTATTGACATGCGTAATGCCAATCTCCCTATTTCTCTATTTTTTGTCATTGCCAAAGTGGAAAATATTGCATTGATTTTATCGATTTAAAAAGTAAATTGATAAACTCAGAATGCTAAGTCAATTTAGGATGCTCAAAGGGTTACCAAAGATGCTGTTGGAATTGAAGTCAACAAATTCAATCTTGCATTGATGGATTCTTTAAGTCAACAAATTCAATCTTGCATTGATGGATTCTTTAGACAAACTCTGCGCGTTTATTATCTATGATTTGAAAACATAAACAATATGTATAAGTTTTCAGATGAATATATTGTATATATATACAATATACGAGAGCGGCTTAATTTTTGCCTACTACCAAGATTTAGCCTTCGAATGCAATGTTAACCACTAGAGGAAACAAAATTCCGAAAATTAGATTATTAAACACCAGAATTTTCAAAATTTTCTCCAAATGACAATATATGAAATGGTGAACTAAATAAATCTAAATCCTATTTTTTTGAGCATAAAAAGCATAGTTCAATGTGTGACTACTTAAGCGCAGTCTACTGTAAGTTAAGGTTTACATGTTGAATGACTCTTATAGAAACAAGCATGATGACATCTTCAACTATTTTAGCTATGCAAAATTTTGCATTTCTCTTCAATCTTGGCGGATTTTGTTTAAAAAAATCCAACATTAAAAAAATTGTGTATATATATGCAAATTATATATCACATTAGTTCAAGAGATGAAAATGTGAATGAGTCAATTGATCAATTAACATTACGTTTTAACAGGCGAAGAATCACGAACAAATAATATCAAGAGATGCTATGATGAGATTCTTCTAACAGGATTAACAAAAATGAATATAAAAGAAGCTTTTTTATTGGTATAAGAAGAATGATTTTTTGGATGATGTAGATAGATTTCATTGACTTGTTTGTTCGAATGAAAAAAATGTGCTTTGATCTTCAAAGTTATTCTCACAACTCAAAATGTTTGTTTCATGTGTGAAAAAATGTTTTTCATGCTAGTAACAACAGAATAAATGGATTTGCAAATTGTATAGGTTAAAGGGGTAAATGTTTTTACATTCACTTGTTTAAGTATGGTTTTTGATCTAACATAAAAATTTGTATGTATTTTTTTCACGCATAAATCTAATTAAAATATTAAAAAGTGTTTGATTAAAACTGGTTCATATATAATTTGAATTTCTAGCATATTTATAAAATTTGGAAACTTTCTAGTAATACCAAAAATGAATTTTTCAATTCATGTTTCATCTAGAGTGAAATCAACCATATTTTATTAATAAAATTGACATATTATATGTATAACATAGTTATAAATCTAATCACGTTAAGTACTTTAAGTAGCTAAAGTTAACAAATTGGCTTTAGTTAGTTAAACTAATTAAGTTCTTCTTATGCAAGAAAACTCTTATTTGAAAAAGTTGTTCAAAATTCAAATTAAAGAATAAAGAACATAGTTGGCAACGCAGTAGATGAATTGTCTAATGGCAGTTAATGTTGACTTTATGTCTATGAATACGTCAAAAGGTACGAGTACGTCAAAATTTTATTTCATATTGTTCAAACAATTGATATCAAAGCAATTCTGGATTTCTTGAAACCACTACGAGCATTATGTATTTATTTTTCTTGATATGGCAAGGAAGTAACATGAAGTAACAACAAATTAATTTGTTGTCTTTGGCATATTTTGAAAATCTTGGAAAGTAGCATACTAATCAATATATAAGTGATGAAAGAAAGCAAATATTTTAGTTTATGAAGGTGGATATGATACACCGACAACAGACAAAGATGCACATACAAGCTACTAGCTTAAACAACTAAAAAATAAAAGTGATAATGTAACTTACTTTTGATTGATGCAAGAGGTGGTGATAGAGACAAGAATGCAAGATATGTTGGAAAACGTGAAAGATGTTGTGACGCAGTGAGATTTTGAAGATAGCTTAATCTAAATCAATATTCCATGATCTCATTGTATTTCTTCTAGCGAAGTATTTGCTTTGAGGATGAAATTAGATCATACTTTATTAAAATTGACATATGTCATTTGTGACAATTTTACATTTAACATGACATTTAACTTTGTTTATAAATAACATAAATGACATTTTCCAACAACATGATTTATTTTTGTGCGTAAAAGAGTAGAATGCCCAAAAAAGCTTAAAGAACAAATTGTAATGCTTGAAATGTATGATAACGGCTAAAGATAGAAATATCAAATCTATTACTCAATTGTCTTGCTAATACTTAACAATGAAATTTTTTGTCTCCGCAGAGCACATAATTGAGAACGTGATAACAAGTTTCAAAAATGATGCAAATTTGCAAATCGAATGATGTCGTTTGATCTTTTTGATTATATTGAATATTTTTAGATCGTCACTCTCCACTTCCTGCAAGATGACACCGTCTAATATCACTGACAGATTACACATCACATAGATCATACTCAAGAGAAGACTTTAGCCGTGATTGGCAAGAATCAAACCAACCAGAGAGATCACTGACTAACTTCTTCATCTTTCTTGAAAAATTCAAGAATTTGTTTAAGGAAGATCATTCTGAGACGAAGTATGTTGCCGTGGTTGGCAAAGACGGAGGAGAATTATTACAATTCATGTTTAAATATTTAGAAAGCTCCTTAGATTGACAAAACTCAACTGAAGATGCAAGATTACGATAGGTTTATGTTAACTTACAACAAGCAATAATAGAATGATGAAGAGTATAACAAGAAAACATAGAGGTAATTGAATAAGTCTGTTGTGAAAGATGCAAAGTCTGAATAACCACAGAAGTTCAAGAATATCACAATAGCTGTCAAAAATCAAACCAAACAAAGAGATGATCAATTGACTTATTCATTTGTCTTGTTCTTGTTTTTTTAGTTGTTTATGGAAGATCATTTTGAGACAAAAATATTGCGATGATTGTCAAAGTTAGAGCAAAAAAATGAAAAAAAATGTTTAAATTTGAGAAGATTTACTACATAGACAAGTGTCAAGAGAAAAATTTAGAGTACGATGAATCTATTTGAACTTATAACAAGTAAAAAAATGTCAATGAAGAGTACAATGAGGGAACACATCGAATAAGATTGTTGTGAAAGACTCAAAGTCAAAGAAGTAACAAAAGTTTAAGAAGATTGCGAGAGTTGACAAAAATTAAACCAATCAAAAGATCATCAGCTGACAGGTTAAGATAATATTTCTTAAACGGCTCTATCGTGTGTAATCTTGATAAATTTTTTATTGTGGATATTATTGATGATACTTTACATCATGAGTTTCAACTAATGCGTAACATATCACACGTGCTACATTGTATTTGAACATTCTCTCTCAAATAACATCACAATGCAAACATTTTGACATGTAATTGTATACATCCGATAATGCTATATCGGATGCAACAAATATCAATTTATTTTGTCTGATAGAGATAAGCGCAAGTGCAACTAGCTACAGGTGTGGTGCAACGTGCCAATGACTTGAAGTATTTAGGTAATTGGATGCAGCAGGAGTCCAGTATGAATAAGAAAATGGGTGTGAGGAGAGGCAGAGCTTGGAATGTATTTCAATCATTTGAAAAGTATGATGCAACAAGAAATTGAAGGTTGCCGACAAAATGGCTGTTTACACCTCTTTGGTTCTGCCTCATTTCACATATGGTTGCGAGAGCTAGAATTGCACCAGTGCCCACATGCACTCTTTGGAGACTGTTCATTCTTTTTGCTTGTGTCGCATTGTTGGAGTAGATTGCTTAGCACGGCACACTCTGAAGCATATTCATGCTCTTTGCAATACCGATGCCCTAGAGTTGATTGCTATCAAACGGACCCTTCAATGGCTTGGGCATGTAATGAGGATGCCTAATTCAAGATACCCAAAGGTCACATTGGTTGTGTGCATGAGGTGAACTCACGAAGCAGGGGCAGATCTAAGGACACATTCAAGCATGCCCATTGTGAGATGCTGAAGAAAGTGAGCATTGTAGAGCATAGAGGTTGACTTTCTGATATGTACGTTTGTGCTGAGTATAAGATTGCTTGGAGAGAGAGGATCAAAGGATTGATCTTGCAACCATGTGTGAGGTATGTGGCTGTCCGTAGGTCCACCAGAGCCAGTACTGCCAACATGACTTAGCTGTAAGTGGGTGTTTGCATTAGATGTTTCGGTTGCTGACAACAAAGGTAGCCGACCTAGACTTTTTCCTTCAATGTTCCTAAAGAGTGGATCGTAACCTGCACATTCACCAGGTTGTCACTGTTTAGATGTTGATTTTGGAAAGGGTTGGTGTGATATTTTTATACCGCTGATCTATCATTAACTGTGACTATAATAAAGAATAGATCATTTTATACAACACTCATCATCATCTTCACATAGTTCAACGCAACTTTTGTCAAAATCAAAATCAAATAAAGGTTCATTAGCTATTCATCGACACAAATGTGGATTTGTTGATCAGAACATGAAGTACTTTGATGTATCAATCCATCATTTGCACAAAAAAATTGCATAGAAAGATGAATTGCATATGAGGTTGAAAAATAACTGCAAGTGACAATCAATACCTTGATGTATCACTCCATCATTTGCAAAAAAAAATTGCATAGAAAGATGAATTGAATATGAGGTTGAAAAATAACTGCAAGTGACAATTAGTACCTTGATGTATCACTCCATCATTTGCACAAAGAAAATGCATAGAAAGATGAATTGCATATGAGGTTGAAAAATAACTGCAAATGACAATCAACAAGACGCTTACATGTTGCTCCATCATGTGATCGATGATCCGACTAGCTATACATTCTTCATAAAATTACAATGATGTGTGATCATAGAGACAATGAGCTTGAACAAAGTATTAGCCTTGGTGCGATTGATTGACAATTAAGATCGGAAAGGATTTTGAATCGTCACAATGTATTTGCAAACATTTTTTTTGTGTGACTGCGAATACTCTCATTGCGTTTGCTTTTGAGATCAATTCTAACTTCTTTTTGTCCTCATCCAATATCAAGGTTGAAAAAAAGTCATCAATAAGGTTGTCAACATTAGACATTTCAAGCTTTAGGCTGCTTTTGGTGGTGTCAAGAAAGTCATGGATGCCAAATCGTTGCTTTCAATCAGAAAAACTATGTTATTATCGTCAAAGAAAACTTTGTAGGTTAGTCAATCATTAGTACGTTGTTTCTTGAGATGATCCTAGTAGAATGAAAGTAATTCAAAACATATGAATGTTGACAATTATCTTGCGCTTGGTGTTCGATTACTCATGTGGTTCTTGATAAAAAAATACATGAAATTTACATCAAATCACATTGATCAATTTGTTTCGACGCTAGATTACTTTTAGAACATATCTAGTTCATGGCTTGCTCCAAAGGACGTTTTGAGACTCATGAACAAGATTCATGAGACAAATGATTTGCTTCATAAACTTTCCTAATGCCATTTAAGAGCCATGTTGCAAAAACCATGATAGAATATCTTTTAAAATTACATTAGGTCAGTTAATTAAGTTCAAAGTGTCATCAATTTTTAAAACATCAATTTTAATGAGGCATGAATTATGTTATCAAAAATAGAAAGTCATGTTTGTATTAGAAGTTGAATTATGAGGGGAAGAGGGTTGATTTTTTTAGCCGTAGACTGTGATAAGTTGTCACGATGACATCTGGAATTGGATCCAAATTGTTTTTTAGAGAGAGAAAGATTGTTGTGATTAAACTACTCAAAAACATGATCAAATTATTACATGCCTAGTGCAAACGCATAGGAGTATATAATTGGAAGAATAGAATGGAAAAGAATTTTAAGAAAGAGGCAAAAGATGGAGTAAATAAAAGCTTATCAATCAATTCCAACCTAAAGTGTACAGGTTTGTCTAGGTAAAAAAGAATGTTTGCACATGCTCAGATAGTTTGACAGAAAATTCTAAATCTACATGCGATGAATTATCATTGAGCATCACATGGCAAAAATTTGCAATACTTGGAAAACCACCACAAAGCACATGTGAAGAACTTGCAAGAATGTCTCCATTAAGAATTGGCAAAGACTGATGTCTCTGAGAAAGAACACAACAACATTTTGAATAACCTAGAGAGAAAGGAGAGAAATACATTAGTCATCAAATACACAAAATGTAGATTGATAACTTTGAGCTGTTGACCATAATAAGAAAAGCAGCTTTTGGAGAGGTTAGATTGTGCAGAAGTTAACTTCTCAAGTATATACACTGGAGATGAACTCATATGTACACTTCTTACAAGATTGAAAATAGGAAATTTCAATTGAAATTTCAAGAAGAAGCAAAAGCCACATCCGACGTCAAGGATTTTATGAGGGGTTTGCTCCGAGATGTGAAACATGGACTTAGGACAAGGAATGTACATGAAATCAAGTACTTCTGAATTACTCATCTATGATTCATATGTTAATCCATGGGAGTTGTACAACGTGATGATCCTTCAAGCCAAAACACACCAGTGTTCTTAATACATAGATTTTTGAAAAGTTTGAGTATAATCAATGTATTTTTAAAGATTCTTAAAGATTCTTGAAGATGCTGTCATCCATGAACGTGAACTTTTGTGGACTGATCGTGTTAGAACTCTAAAAATGTGCAAGATGCTCAAGGTCCAGTAGCCGTGGAATTGAGGAATAAGCAAAAGCCCAAGAGTCCGTCCATCAAATCATTTCTTAATACAAGTTAAGAAAACACAAGTAGCACTCTAAGAAGCTTCATGATGTTACCCATCCAATCCCAAACGTCTGAAATTTCCAAGGCCTTTTCTTTTGGCCTTTATCTTCCCCTTCTCAATTATGATTATTCAATGATTTCCATTGGAATAGTAAGAGATAAAAATTTGTGACAACATGAGTTTTTTCAATTAAAATAATAAACATAATTATAGATTAGATTTTAGTAATATAAATTTTACTACTCAAATAGCTCACATACAATAAATTTTATATATAGATTCAATGAATACCAAATAAAATTAGCAGAAAAGTTAAACTCAATCTACTTGAAAATTTTACATTCAATTTGATCCTTTTTGAATGTATATTATGAGTTTTTATGAAAAAATAATTTCTTATAATATTATTCTCAAACTCACAAAATATAAGTTTTAATTCTGTGTGTATGATTGAAGAATAAGGAAATTTTCCTCCAAAGATAAAATCTGAATCAAAGTAATTCATTATTTAAAATAAATCAAAAGACTTCTAGGCCAAAACTTGACATGAATGTATCACATGGAGGGAACTGTGATATGAGATTGTTAGAATATGTATACTTGATTCAAGAAAATCAAATTTAGGTTGTAGACATGATTGGTAACAATTGCTAGCATTCATTTTTGCTATTCATGGACAAGATATTATGTAAGGTAATGGGGAGTGGGATATTCTTTTGTGCTTACATCTGAACATCTTGTTACTTATTTAGTTTCTATATAAAAGGTGAGGTAACGAATGCTCTACTTCACCTAAAATATTTTCAGTATAGAAGAGAAAAATATTTCTCTCTATTGTAGTAATGAGGCTAGCCCCTGGTTACCCATTTCATCCTTGTACTGCTTGATGGGAAGACCCCATCATGATGGGTCTTCCCGTCTGTTTTTCTCATCCACTTCGCCCTCGTTAAATTGGCTATGAGTCCTTGACGCTGCAATCAGAACATTCTATGGAAGATTACTTGCATGGTATGTTGTCGTCTGGGGCCATCCTTTTTGTCATATTACTGTTAGATTCTCACGGTTCCTGAACGGCATGTTTTAATGGCTTCGATAGCCTCACGGCTTCATCTTCATCCTACTAGCAAACTCGGCAGGAACAAGGTAGCAGAACTTCATATCTAAAACGAAATTTCATCGTTCCCTCTTTACTTCATCTGGAGAGTAGATACATGTGACGTGCTCAGAACACATACATGATTTCGTCGTACCAGCTGTTTGTTTATCACCATTTGCTTCAAGAGGTCTTTGCTCTGCATGTGTTCACTGCGTGGCTGCCTTCACAGCTCCACCAGCATGGATAAACATCTGATTTCAATGTGTACCTACGTTGATGTTGGTATGCTTTGTGCAGTGGCGTACTAAATTTTAGTGCTGTTATAAAGGCTCTTCCTAAGGTGGACAGCATTGGAGCAAAAGAGTTGACCTCTATCCTCCCTTCCAACAAACTCGGTCCCTGCGAAACCCAATTCCAAATCGATCTATATCCACACCCGGAGCAAGATAGTATCCCATCAAAAATGTGAAACACCAGAGGATCTTTAGAAACAAGAAAAATATCTTGTCGAAGTTGTGGGCGATAGCAAAGCTGGCAGTGATGAGAGCTTGACATTCTTTAACATCATGTCAAAGACATTGTTGTCTACCATTATATTAAGAGTGTACTGGCGACGTCAAAGAGGCTCACGTTTCCTCACCAAACTGTACCGAAGTAAAGGATTCGTCCCTGGAGTCATTTCAGGACTGAACATGATTACAATCGTCCCTCAGTGATATGTTAGATTGAAGAGAGAGACCCTTGCAAGGCTGTAGGCCTTGTACAAAGAACTGCTGACAGTGACGGGTATGTAAAACACTCCTGGTTGCCTTTGTCCAACATACGCAGACACCTTTTGACATGAATATCGTCATGATAGGTCATGGGACAAGATCACCTGGGAAAACAGTGATCCAACAAAACTGTTTGTCTGAAAATCTATCCACTCTTCTATGAGTAACTTCCGAATCGAAGGTCACCGTCACAATGCAATCAGTATCCATAGGAGTTTCAGCCTGCACCTCATATCCATCTACCAGAACAGCTGTTAGCATCAGTCCGTTACTCTTGTCCGCACTGTTACGACCGTGCTGCGAGTCAGGCGATATGTGCGTGTGCCTCTATCTGTTCTTTACCCATTAGATTCGATCCGTCAGCTGTGAGAAGAGCATGAAAAACGACATATTCAGTATGGAGATAACGATGGTGGAGTTGCAGGTATCAGAGTACACATCAAGACTGAGAGACAGGAACCAAACTGATCATTCAAAACGTCATCCGAAATTTTTTCAAGAGAACGACATGTAGTTAGAAACTTCTTATCCGACAGGTGGAAGTATGTTATGTCAACATCCGCAGGGGTCAGTTGATTGTAGGCTCGTCATTGAGATGATCAGGTCATGTCACACTCGACGTAGGTCAAGGAGATTTTACAGAAAGTATCTTAAGACAACTAGCAAACTCTGCACAACCATTCTCTGTAAACCGGGAGATGAATATGACCCATATGTATCAAATTCTTTTGCTCACAGTCCAGTGGCAATTTGTGGAGGTCTTCAAAAATATCAATTTTATTCGCCAATGCAGAGAAATATATATAGAAAAAGAAGTTAGCTTATAGTCTTATGGATGAGGGAAGCCATATGATTTCTGACACCAGTTTATTATTTGCATTTGTTGTCTTTGCAAACATTGACTCCGCAGTCCATCTATAATCTTAGCGCCACACCATACTCAGTGACCATGACAGAGTATGTTCTGGTTGATAACAGACCTGTGTAGGCTGTCAGCTTCTTCGACGTTCAATCCAGTACAATCAGCACAGATCAACAAAATTCATGACATGCATCGTACTGGGCGGATGCCAACCAACCTTTACTCGTCATAATAGTCAGATGTGACTTATGATCAGTCTTCAGAAATACAATTGATGAAGGAAAATTTCCAAGAGAGCAAGGTGCTATATAATTGAACTCTTCGAAAGACCACTTTCGTCATATGGCTCCATACCACAATTTTGTACACTGCAATTGATTGTAACCTTTCACATATTCAGTCTGTAAGTCTTTTCAAACCCATAACAAGCTTCGAATTCCACTCAATGATCCTTCAGTCCCCTTGCTGATCTTTCTAATCATACAACGGTGTTTGTTTTGCTGCTATGGTAGACTGACATGGTGAAGGAGCATGAACCCCATTTCATGACACTTAATTTTGAAACTCTCCCCATGCCGGCAGGAGATGCAAGAAGCAGTTACCTAATGGCCAAGTGAAAATAAGACGAAATATGACTTGGATTTATAGGCGATGTCAGGATGCCAGGACTACTAATAAGAAGTGTGAAACTTTGAGGGACCAAATCAGTTCACCTTTAGCCTCTTAGCTTCTTCTTTCACAGCTTGAACAGTGTGCCAGTTCAAGACCGGAGAAACAAGAGCAGCAGCGATCCGGTTCATATCTTTCATCTCCAACTGGCGGAGGATGGGTTCTAATGTTCTTTCATTCAACAAGCCTCCTAATGTCAAAATAAACCACAATAATTCATGAAAAGGGGTCATTTGGATCATCAGCTGCACATTCAGATTCGGATGTTTTTGGTAAAATCGAACTCCACTACGACCCCTTTGTTTTTCCTGCACATCAACGGCAACCAATATCATTATCATGTCCATAAATCAAGTCCAATGCACTTGTGGACGCTTTAAGAATCTAGCAGGGTAATAAAGTCACTAGATACAGGGTCACAATCTGTACGTCTGACTTACATCACTTATTCCTTGCTTACAGCACTCATGGCATAACTGCACAAGCAGGACTAAGCTTTCCCAGACAGCTAAAAGATAAACGTTGGAGAACAAACCTGCTCAATGAGCTTAGGCAGCTGATTAACTGAAAAGGCAGGATGCCAGTGGTAACCCACGGCTTCGGGAGCATGTTTGATCCTGGCTCCACCTTGCTTCAGTCTCACTGTAGAAAAATCAGTCCAGTTGAAACTCACTGCTCATTTTCGAACATTTCATGACAGTCCCCTGACCTACGCATATCTCAGACACATCTCTATTTGCGAGAGCAAAATGAATCTAGTGATTAAAGCACTTGCGCTTTATTGTGTATTGTACGACAATCTCAACATAAACCTTCTCGTTGATTACTGGCAAAAGGAATAACTGAATAGATTGTGGTTTTGTCCACCTTCATACCTCCCAACTCAAGATCCTCCCAGCCGTACTCGCTGAAAACCACATCAAATGGACCATCAGCATCCGCACCTAGAAGCTTTGCAGCTTCTAACAATCGCCGACGAGAAATGGCCACGTTACCAGTGGCGAAAAAGGCAGCTGAGTAATCCTAAAATGCACAACGCAAAATTTGCAGTTCCGTTCGAGGCAGTGAGTTATTTGGAACAACGCCCAACATGAGCTGGATACATTCAACCACAAAGATTTCACAGCTTGCATTGTACACTCGAGGGTCGGATGACCGGAAAAAACTCACAGTGATCTTGACTTTCTCAGATTGGGGATTTTCGAAGTTTGAAGTGTTAACGACGCGACCGTAGGTGAAGGCCCGGTCATCTCCGTCTTCTAGAAAAGCCTCACGAAGGGCTTGTCCATGGGCCCTGAGAAAGCTCCTCGTCACCACCAGGTCCGAGTCGATGAAAACAATAATGGCACCACTGGCGTGCTTCAGTCCGAGATTCCTGGCAGTCGTGGCACCCGCATGCTTCTGCCTCACGAGTTTTACATGAGGAAATCGTCTGCTCTGCTGAGCAAACGGCCTGCTGCCTGCCCCTGTTTCTTGACCATGCACTCTACAATTTCTACTGTTTCTCCCCGAGTCTTCATCTCTCGTCTCGTCTGCCTGACTATCCACATTTTGACAACCCTCATGAGCTTCATCTCTCTCACTCGTAAGAAATTCGACCGTCCCGTCGGTGGAGCCATCATCAACAACGATGACCTCAAATCTGGCAACTCCGCCAAGCTCGTAGTCCACCTGCTCCTCCAGGGCTTGCAAGCACTTGGTCAAGATGGGCAGCCGATTATAAGTAGGAATCACAACACTCCATAGTCCATCCTCCCCATTTTCAACCGCCGAAACTTGCTCATGCACCTCCGCGATTTGACTCTGCATCCCTGATGACCTTTCCCTCTCCTCGACTACTAAACCACTGCTGTCCTCCACCGAATTCTCTGTAGTTTCGAAGCTCCCCGCGTCCCCTTCAGGAGACGAGCTTCCATGAACTCCCGAGCCACTGACTGCCGAAGTCCGGCTTCTACTGGACTCCCCGTCGATGTTTTGGGTGGCAGAGACATGGAGAAAATGAGCTTGACTATTGCAGGGGATGCTGGATTTGACAGCCAGAGGGTTCGGATTGAGGGGATGACAGGTTCGAGAGCTTCCAAGATTGACGCGCTTATGATGCCGGTGGTGATCGAGCCAGGCAGCATCGAAAGAGGACCTGTGCGAGGCCGATGCGCATGTCACACAGCACGCCAGAGCAGCCATTCCTGCTCTGTCGATAGAGCCTGCAACATGTTCTGCGCCAGCGCCAGCTTCTACGAGCGCGAACCGACTGCTGCTGAGAGGAGGAAAGCTTCACTGCAAACGCAAAATCTCGCCAAGTGGAAGTTGATCTGCCACGTTCCTGTTTCGTCCCACGGAGCACCTATGGCCTGCGCACTGCGATGTCCTTTTGCAGGCGATGGACGGTCAGGCAAGACATTCGTTCTTCTCAATCCAGTCGAGCCTTGGTTCAGGACATAGACGGGCAATCCGCGATTCTTCGGATTGAATTCCTACCATCACTGGTTTCCTGTACAATTCTGATCGAATTTGAGGATGCATTTGCATGCATGGTCATGAACTTTGTAACGGAGGCCAAGGAAATAGCGCAAAGTATGAGAAGAGCCCATCGACCTTTGCAAGGATAAAAATCATGTTTATGAGTACTTGAGGTTACCATGCCCCGTTGTGATCCTCATCCTGTCACATGGCTATGCAGTTTTCGAGTTTTAATCCCCGGACAGTGTAACTGCATTCATTGTATTTTGGCAGGTTATTTCCAAGATAAACGTTCGGGAAGGGGTGGGTACAGCTGTTGCTTCTTGTGCATAAACTTTTCTTCCCAGGTGAATAAACGTCAGTAAATTTGTTGATATTTGTATCAAAATCAATATTAATAGAAGTTCATCATTTACAGATATTTTAGGTGGTAAAATTGCATTAAAGGTTGTAATATATTGAATTTAGTCACATGTAAACAAAAGATGGGGTTTTCCATTCCATTTGTTATCAAATTAGTACACCTTCGAGAGTCAAGCCCAAAGAATGGAGTTTCTCGTCATGAGTGCAATCATAACCTGAGATTCCCTTCTATGATAGAGTCCCCACGGAGATAAGCACGAGTTCAAGTCCTTTGCTACAGTGGAACCACGAAGTTTTAATATGAACTCTCGAGATAGTTTTTTTTCTTTTCAAATATAAGAAAATTTATAATGTTACGTCATTGGAATTTTCATATACAATATTTCAACGTTCCTAACATTCCAATTATCATATAACATCATTATCGTATTTTTTTAAAAAAATATTCTAGATTTTTTATCTTAATATTATACAATATATCTCTAATATTCGAATTACATAAATATTTAAAAAAATATCGTAAAAAATATTAAAAAATATAATAAAACTATGTATTATATCATACATAGTATTAAAAGTTTGTAGTGTCAACCACAACAATGTACAAATTATCGAACTCCGATCCCATTGTACCACACATTTTTTTACTAAATTTAAAAGCTATGTGCCACTCATCATTATAGTATAAAACATCAAATTAATTTTAACCTAAAACCTGTTTTGGAAATAAAGATTCTATTTTTTCATTACTCAATCTCCACCATAGTCTTTCTCTCTTTTAATAACCACTTATTCAAAGTCTTTCCAGGAGATCCGTGTGAATGTGGAGGATTCTAAGGTTGCTAAGAGTATGAAATTTGTCAGGAAGACATATAATATAACAATGTCCCAACCAAAGAATCACAATCTTGCACAGAGCGCCGACGCTTCGAACGAAACTCTTCTTCGTCTTGAACAAAGACCATCTGCACCGTTGGCGATCCGAGCAATTTATCAGGTGAAAAATGACAAGAGTCTCGGGAACGCTCGGTATGGCAGCAGTCTGACAGACGAGACACGGAAGGTATCGCGAGGCATCGCCCTGCTCACCGATGACTACTTTTGTCAATCTCATCAACCGCAGCTTCGAGCTGCTATTAGTTTCGAATAACATCGAGAACACACAATCCTCTTCTTTACAAACTACCCGGAGAAACTGGACCAGATCCATATAACTTCTTGCTTTTTTCTGCTGAGGTTCTGTAGATTTGATCAGTGTCATGAACCACATCGAGCAGATGCTGCTTTATATGAAACCGAGTCTACAGCTTGCCTGGAAGGTCTATCCGGATTCAACTGGCACTTCTGTGATAAGAATTTATAGTGATTCATTAAGCCAGTGCTAGTGCAGGTATAACTCAAGACTTCACCATATTCAGTGTGCACTGGAAAACACTGTGCAGCGCAGCTTACAGTCTTTAGGAGAAGGATCCGCATGAGCAAGCGCTTGTTTGCACGCATAGTACACATCAGACAACGGAGACATTAACTGCTGTGCTCACACCGGCATAGTCACTAAGAAACAATTTTGCCATAGAGACAAGGGGCTCCCGAAAAGTCTGTTCTCGTCTATGTCTCGGAAATCCCTTGAAGTCCCACTTGGATATTCCTGGCAGGTTTGGCTTGCCACACATGATAAAGGTGAACCGAAAGTGAACCACCTCTCAACTGTCAAAAAGAGATCAGATTCATTGGGTTGAGAAGAAAATCTGGGCCATAACGTACATGATTTAAAACAAAATTGGACTCTCATATTCTACTCATCTGACCTTCAATTTCACACCAAGCTTGGCTCAAAGAAATCTTTCTACGCAGGCATCACGTCACGGAAGAATATGTAAAGTTGAGTGATCGGGCACCAATTTATTTGTTCTTCTTCATTGAGAGAACTCAAAACAAGTTGAATCGAGTTCTCTCGGTCTGAGAAAGAGGGGTTGGCAATGTTCTTATTGTATTGCAAATGCCGAAGAGCACCGCGCAATTGTACCGCAATCTATACGGTGCTCCTCGGTGTTCGCAATCCTCACTTGCTCATCAAAAGCGAGCGAGTTCCAGTAGCCTGCGCCATATGAGCAATAGTATGAGATTCGAGCTGCCACTGCCCCACAACCTCCTTTTCCCGTGGATGTATAAGAATATAGAGAAAGAACAGGGTATGCTCTCAGTCTTATATTCTGGAAAAAAAATGTGCAATGTCCGTGTAATCTGCCAATGTGTGATAGCCCACCCAATGCTAAATTGCAATATAACAGCAAAGGATGGAACCCACAGGACAGAGACAACACACAGAGTACAAAGTGTCACTTTTTAATAGTCTATTAAAGAGTTTGAATTCTCAAGCTACTGTTTCTCCCAGAAATACTGCAAGTGCTCAATGGTCACTCGGAGTACACACAATGCAGCGTAATACACCCCACACACACACTTGAAATTTTAAATGCACAACTCAGAGGTCGATCACGACCTCCACTTAAGATTCAGGGGGGAAGTTTTCCAAGAGTACACTCGGTCTCCGCCGAGGAGCTTGAGCCGAAAGGATTTCATCCTACTTGCGCCGAAGGCGCTTCGGCCAAAGGCTACTCACCCGAATACCTTACCGCCGAAGGCGCTTGAAGCGGGCACTGCAGCATGAACCGTCCGTTCCGTCCAAGGCGCACGACTGTGGCCAAAGCCCCAAACCTCTAGACTGCCTTCGATTCCCCTAGACCCCAAGATTCCTTTTTTATTTTGTTTTCGCGTACCGATTATTATTTACTTGGAAAACTCGAAACTGGGAAAGACTCAGAACCTTTCTATTACGAAGCAACACATACTTTTGGCCTGACTCACGTCGATAATTGGTAGACTTTTCCCTCAGTGGCATACTCTATGGTTTAATGAAGCAATGAATGACAATGTGAGGTTTGCGCGTTTCATTGAGACGATTCTCGTCGCAGTAAATTCAGAAAGCCCTTCCTCACTGCTGGGTTGTACTTCAAATACTGAAACTTGTCACAAAGAATCAGACTTCCCTCCGATTATTATTTACAGCTACTACCGCGGTACTTACTATTCAAAAATGTTTCAACTTCAAAAAAAAGCAAAAACTGCGCTACCACACAATGCCTAGAATTTGAACGTGAGATCCAGAGTCCGGCATTACATCATCAGTGCTTCTGACCCTGCTCTTCCCATACATCGATACATCAGGTCTCCAGAAAAGCCATTCTTCCGAACAGCTTATTTTTGACATTTATTGTTGTGCTCACACCGGCATAGTCACCAAGAAAAATTTTTGCCAAAGGACAAGGGGTTCTCGGAAAGCTATTCTCGTATGTGTCTCGGGAATCCCTTCAAGTCCCACTTGTATGTTCCTGGCAGGTTTGGCTTCTTGCCACACATGATAAAGGTGAACCACCTCTCAACTGTCGAAAAGAGATCGGAATCATTGAGTTGAGAAGATATTTGGGCCATAACGTACATGGTTTAAAACATAGATAGAGGCCAACATTTAACTTCAAATTTGTACCTCTATCCACTACAAAACCATCAACAACGAACTTTGTCCATCCATAGCATTATCTGTGCCCATCCATGCTATTTAATTTCACATTCGACAATGTCTTCTTTAGTTGTGCATTTTTGAACAAGAGTTAAATGTATTCATCTCAATACTATATTTGCAAGTAAAATTTTAAGAATCTATTTCTAAAGAATTCACAAGTATTCTCTAATGCAAGCATGGAACAATTTAATATGCGCATTGCGCACTCTTCTTGCACTCCGTGAACTAAACGCAGGTGTTTATACATTGTATTGACATGACAAACAAGTTAAGATCTAGGTGTTAACTAGTATTGATGAGCATGGTTTCTATATCTGTTTGCAAACTATGTCTATCTGTATCCACCAGGAAATAATACCCACCCTTGCCCATCCATGATCAATAACTTTCAGTTCATCACCACCCAAAACCCATGGTCACTCAACGGTGGGCTCTGATGCATGATCAAAAGAGAATGTAGTCTTTACAATATGACATGAAGTAGGCTCATGAGTATGATTAATAGGTTTGTTTCTTAAAATTTTCTTGTTTTGAACCTTTGTACAATGTTATTTTCTATGTTTGAGTAAATCAAGTTAAATGAATACTTGGCCGGTGATGGAAAGTATGAAGTAGCCGTAGTCGTTGGACTTTCTGCAAAACATTCTGTCCGGGACAAGCAACTCATGCCAGGTCAACAAAGATGCGACCTCTGTCTCTTTCTGTCATTTGGCCACTCGCATGTACTCATACATGCGAGTGGCAAAATCGTCGGAACCATCTTGCGAATCCAGGATGATGACTTTCAACATTCGCAGCTACAAGTTCGAGCGGGCAAGAAAAGACGCAGACTTCTTCACCAGTTTTTGCAGAGAGGGCGCAGACCTCTTTCTCACCTCATTGGTCTATGTCTCATAACAGGTTGAACTCATAACAGGTTGAATCTGACAAAGAGGAGTTTCCTTGTTCATATTGTGTTGCAAATGCCAAGGAGCACCGCGCAGGTGTTACGCAATATATGTGAGAATCACCAAAAGCGAGCTCTTCGAGACGGAAGGTAATTAGTGCAACCCTTGTAAAGTACGAAGGTCTCTACCCGTCTCCCCTACAGAGGGAATGAAGGACTTTTTCTCACACTCTCTCGTGTCATTAATGATGTCACGAACCTCCAAGCGAATATGCTCAGGGCAGGACACATTCTCTTTTTGTCTCGAGGGAACCCAAGAGGACATTTGCCTCCCCACACAGAAATTAGACCAGTGGACGACTCTCATCGCGAGCGTTCACGCTACGAGACCGTCGTAGCGTTAACGCTAGCCACGAAAGTCCAATTTTCAGTGCTTGCATGCGCAGACCAGCTGTTTGCTCCTGGTTTGTGACACCAGTTCCGGTAGCCTGCCCCATGTGAGCATTAATGTGAGATCTCAGCTGCTACGGCCCCACAACCTCCTTTTCCCCCGGCGGATGTATAAGAATACAGAAAAAGAACTGGCTATGCTGACAGTCTTAAATTTTAAAACACAGAAAGTGCCATGTTCGTGTTATCTGCTAATGCCTAGAATTTGACCGTGAGATCCAGAGGGGAAAGGTCGGCATTACACCATCAGTGTCAGAGGTAGGCGCATAACATCTGAGAATCATGTCTGCAGAAGTATACGCTATGCAAGGATACCCCTGATTCGAGAGTCCTTGAGCCAGAAGGTGAGCAGAATTGAAAGAAAGAAGAAGGTGGTGAGATTCTTGACCACATCTAGACGGTTAGAGATAGACGCGCACATTGCGTTATACATTTCTTTCATTTGCTTTAAATTTCAAATTAACTTTTCCAGAACGGAAAAGTCACCTATTGTGTGTGACCGCTCACATACAAACTCACCTCAACCTCACCCTCCCAATCTTGCTCCTGTTGTAAACGTAAAATGCAAGTTAAGAATTCATGGTGGATACCACTAGCTCATATTACTTAGAATTATTTCTCTATGTCTTGTTTTCCTGAACATTAGTGTCTAAAACATAGTATTAAAACAATTCAAAATTTATAGTTGAAGGGTTTTAGAATAAACCATAAAAGAATAAAATCTAGTTTATTTCTATATTGAAGTTGCAAAATACTGATTTAAAGGAACAATTTATTTTTTGATTGGACACAAGTAGGACATATTCAACCTTTGTACAGTATGAGGTTTATCACCATGTTGTGATCTGGTTATACGGTACACATCTTATTACACTTTTAGTCAACTTTGATTCTGTTTCATTCAATATATTTTGACTTTAACTCCATATGAAATTTTCATGCTTTGAGATAATAAAATATATCATATCTCTGATAATACCGCAATGTACATTTTATAGCATATATATATTGAATATCGAAAGGTTTTTGTGATATTCATTATCAAGTTACGAACTGTAAAAATGTGATAAAAACCTGAATTGTAACGTCTGACCTTTGTAGCATTTCATCATATTCAAGCTTTCCAATAATCACAATAGAATCTACCTCATTTTGAAAAATTTTTGTACTAAGCGTCTTTTCAATCATGATATTTAATTACAGTACATATAATTCTAGCTAGATTTAAGTATTAATAGCTATGATACATCTTAAAAATTGATTTTGATTATTTTAAGAATAAAAGACGCTTATTTGCCCAAATTTACCAATAGTTTTGGTATCATGATGTAATTTGAAACCAATTGAGATGTAAAGTTTTTTTTTCAAATGATGTCTTCATTTTATACCAATGATATCATGATTAGAAGTAATTCACGATATGATTTTGAACTGCTGAATAAAAGTATGTCAAACATCAGTTGCATTCAATTTATGTTCATAATAATTAAAAAAAGATGTATATTTCATTGAAAAACTGATACATTCAATTAGAAGTCATGTCTGATGATCTTTCACAAGAACTATGGTATCTTAAAACTTGTGAAGGTGTTAAAGATCGATGACATTATTTACATGTCACTTTCACGAGTGTAAAACAAGTAAAGATGGTATTATTTTATTAATAACCCTATCGAGAAAACTATCCAATATCAAATACTTGTAAAAAAATGAGTTTTCATATTTTATAAAAATTTACGACAATATTAATTTTAATATATGAGTTTGCAATTACTTTTTTAAAGAAGTTTTTTAGTATTGTAAAAAGATATCTAACCAATGAGAAAATTACTTGATGGGACCTCCAGAACATAAAACACTTACGGAGACCTCTGAGGATTCATTTTACTCGATGAGGGGGCATTTCAGCTTACCGTCACCCATGTTTCCATACGAGTTCGTGCATGCAGTTCATACTGTGAATAGAGAATTAATCTTAGCAAAAGGCTATCAAGAAAAGCAGGTTTGGAAGTAAACTTTGACACTTACAGTAACAGACCTAAAAAGGTATCAATTGTCAATTAAGTCCTATCAATTAAGTCTTCTTCTCCTGACGGGAAGATCTGTCAACTTAAAATATTTCTGTGAAAGAATAGACTAACACTGCTACTAATCCATACGCTTGTAGAACTAGGAAAAGTAGATGATAACTAACATACCGCTTGAAAGGTACGCAAGAAAGCTTCTTACTGTTTTTACCATTCTCCGGAAGCCACAGATAAACAAGTGACAGCGGTCCTCCAAGGATCCAACGTACTCTGTAAACTAATCTTGCCTACTGCTCGTTGGAACTGTACAATACGTACACATTTGTCAGAAGCTGAATTCCAACGAGAACAACACCGCTGATGGTGCAAGCCAGCATCAAGAGCTGACTGTCTGGCGGCAAGTTCCCAAACCCTGCTGCCGCAAATGCTCCGACTCCGAAGCCTACACTCACCGTGAGAGGGAAACCGTTCTGTAACCGAATTAGAAAAAGAAATTCGGTCTTTTCCCAGGAGAGGTCTGAGCGCCTTTCTCCACGGATAATCCACATCAGGCAGCGGAGTATCGTGTAGACAGCAAAATAGAAGGATACGCTGTTACAAATCCAAAACAATCTCACCGGCCTGCTTTTGAAGTCTCCTACCTCCGTGCCGAACGGAGGCTGCAGGTATGCGGCGAAGGTCACGCCTGCGATGAAAGTGGCCGCCACCAGAAATGTGTTGACAGAATCTTGAACTGCCTTCCATCTGCCAATAGAAGCAGTCATTATGAACTCATTCTTGGGGTGCTTTTCCAGCATGTCGAGAAACACGTCTAGATTCTTGTCGTCATTAGACATCATCGTCAAGAATTCCTGGCCTAGGAATTTTGGTCTCTTGTGGTGGCAGTAACTGTACCTTTCCCATACGATATGTAATGGAACTTCCCTACGGTAGTTGTAAGTGGCCGGATCAAAATTGGGGTGACTACCGAATTCAACCAGCATCTCCAGAAGATCGGAGGCTTTACACATGCGAGTGGCCAAATGCAGTGGAGTGTCAAACCTTTGGAACTTTTTCGCGAAATCAAGCTCACGACCTTTTTTTTCGCTCGAAGTCGAATTTTGTGACAGCCAGGATGGAAGATGGCACTTACCTCCCGTCACCACTTTGGCGTTAACATCCACGTCTTTAAGTGAGATCAGCACTTTGAAAGCCTCCATAGCTCCCGTTCTGATCGTGCAATGGAGAGGAGTCATACCAAATAGTCTTTCGCCTACATTCAGTTGTATACCCTCACGCTGGATAAGGTATTTCACAAGCTCATGATTGTTCTGAGTGGCAGCCAGATGCAATGCAGCGTGCCCATCCATAGGAACCTTGAACTTTTGATACTTGTCCCATTGATTCTCGAAAACCTCGTTATCTTTTACTGAAATGCGTTTCACACTCCCATCCAACGTCCCATACTTTGAATTCTGCAGGAGGAGACTCTTATGCGTTTTGAAGAACTTTGACATCCGTATAGCGTTTACCGCTTCTGTGAGAGCGGTAGACGCTAAACTTTTAACTTCCTGAATATAAAGTTCAGGATAGACAAATTCAATTGCCAAACCCCCAACCTGTTCATTGATCTGACGGGAGCTCACTTCCAGCAACTTGTCCATGATGTTGATATTAAACCTCTTCATCGTTGCGTGAAAAAGGGGACGCTGCCAGGCAGACAGGAGAAATGGCGTCCAGCCCCTCGCTCTGTCTTTCGAGACAAGATCCAGTGGAACTTTGGAGTCGAACAGCACCCGGACGACGTCGGCATGTCCTCCGGCAATAGCAAAATGCAGGACGTTCCTTCCAAACAGCTTATCTTTGGCCTTGACAGCATTCTCCACATCTTCATACTTTTCCAAAAGTAATGTCACGGCTTCAGCGTGACCAGAGCAAGCTGCCAAGTGCAACGACGTGAAACCGTCCTCGGAAGAGTCTTCTTGGACAGAAATTGAACGTCCCAGCCAGCTCTGCAGTTCCGTAATAACGGGACAATGGCCCCCGGATGCAGCCAGATGCAGTGCAGTGTACCCACCTTCCGTCTTTGCAGTCGGGTCCGCCTCTACGTTCTTGAGTTTCCGGACGAGATCCACGTCTCCTGCCCAAGCTGCAAAGTGCAAAATCTTCAGCTTGAGGTCTACGTCCACATAGGCGTCCTTGAGCACTGGGAGTTTATGTAGCAACGGCGTGAGGATCGAAAGATCTCTATCGCGACCAAACGTTTGTAACAACTGCTCTCGTAAGTCGAGGCTGAGCTGGAATCCGTCGACTTCTGCTTGCTTGTTCTCCATTCTCCTCCGACGTCTACGTGAAATGTTCTGTCTATTACTTGCTGCACACCACGCCAATTCTACACGCAGAAACTAACGCTCGGAGGCAGTATTTGGGAACATGATGTTCTTAGAACATGTAATGGGACGTTTGATGCCAAAAGCTTCAATTGCGCTCGACAGGGATGCAAAGCTCCTGCAGTTTTGGGCTGGTTATGAAGACTTGGTGATTCAAGCTGTGCTTCAGTATGCTGGTGCGCTACGCCTGCTTGTACATATATGTCAAACAGTAGCATTGAATCTCTGAGTTGATAGGGTCCCGCAGAGATCGGGACAAGATAGTAACATAAGCGAGAAGAACGCTTTTAATATATTCAGCAGAATGAGTCAGCGGCTCAGGCCTAGGAAATCTCTAATTGCAGGTAATACCGTCGACCTCACATACAACATAAATTGGGTTGACGGTTGTCTTTTCTAAAAGCTCTAGAAGCTCTAGAACATCGTTTGAAATCATAGGTACTCTTAGAGTAGCATGTGTAATTTCATATCAAGTGTGGCATTGTATATCTAACTCTTAACAGTAAATATATTTTTTGACTAGATACCCCAAGGTTATGATTGGTTAACTTAGGGTATGTAGGTGAAACGGTGATCACCCCTATTTATTCACTTTGATAAGCACTAAGTGTTCATAGATATATCTTCTAAGACGATAATTTACTCGATTCTGCAACTCAGTCATTTCCGATCAAAATTCTTGTAAGGCTTTTACTCACAAAGTATTCACACCCGCATGGTTCTTGTGACAAAACTAGACAATCTTTATTCTTCGTGATTGACCTGAAATCATTCGGTATGTGATTCCATGTACTAATATTGTCATTTTTTTAATTTTTTTCCTCGATGATCCCTATTGCATGAGGTAATGTGTGCAAAAAGTTAATATCCTGAAATTCCATAAATTTACTGGACTAAGTTAGAATATGTATATATATGTTACAAATTTTTGGATTTTATTTCAGCCACATATAATTTTGATTTGGGTGTAAGTGAATGGATTTGATTTGAATGAATTGTCACAAGATAACATCTTGGGTCCAATCCATAATTATAGCATGACAACATAGGCACTGTAATCTATAAGTATAACAAATCATTACGATAAGATCTAGTCTCACTTATATTATTTAACACTTCACGTTGTTATTTTTGACACTTCAAGAGTTTGATCTGAACATATTTAATACTTTGATGCTCATCTTTGTAATTTTTTATTTTTACTTTTTGATATATACTTTAGTTATTTTATATTCTTATTGTTTTTTGTCTTTAGGGATTTAAAACTTTCGCTTGGGTAATCTTGATGTTTTAAACCTTCAAAAATTTGCCTTCTGACATTTTGGTGCTTTAGCTTTTGCAAATTAGATTTTGTGTACCAAATTGATAATAAAAAATTATATTTTTTATATTTTTTTTATGAATAAATATATTTTTATTTGAATATATTAGATTTGACATCTAAATATTTATGTCCAAATATCACGCGTGACTTGTTCACAGGATAAGACGATAAGTTATACCTGTGCGCTCTACTCAGCGTACATCCGCACTGCGATGACAGAGTGATCGAGCTGAGAATTCCATGAAAGTGAAAGTCCTCCCCGTAGAACGACAGTTTGAATACTATGAGTGGAAGAAACCTCACCAGATAGATTCTGCAACGCAAAAATACCTTATGACGTCGGTATATCTCAACTGGAAGATACACTGTAAAGAAGTCTCAGTCTCCCTAATTTTTTTTGTTCTACTCTTTGGGTAGTCTTGGGCTATTCTTCTTCCACACTTGCAATTTTTTTCTCTTCACCAAGTACTCGGCTACCTGTTGGTCCTGACAGAAGTCGAAGATGCTAGCTCAGAGCATCTTCGACTAAGTGTTCGTCCAGCACACACTCTATTTCTCTCATTCCCTAAGTGCTCAGGTGCCCATAACATCTGAAAAAGGGGTGCTCTCCTATCTTCGAATAAGAAAGCAGCACATCCCAGGGGGTAGCGACTGTTTATACAGAACACAGGACTCTGCTAAGTGGTAGCCCGATGTATAGCGCAGAATTGCTGTATCGTTTGGGGGTTTTTTGTTTTATCATTCTCGAAGTGGTAAAGCAGAGTTTCCACGGAGAGCTTCCACATTATCTACTTGAATTGGATCTACGGTATGGAAACTCTGACAATGTTTAGCGGCAAACTAATAGTAGCCAACCTTAAGTAGTAGGAACTACACAAATTCTAAAACTGGATTTTACGAAGAAAACAAAAATGATGCGAGTTATCATTCACATATTGTAAATAAAATTATAATATATGAAATATAATTAATAACTAAAATTCATAATGACTTTTTGAATTTTAAAAAGTCACTTATTTCACAATTATAATCATTTCAAAACTATATTTTTATTTTATCGATTAAAAAATTAAAATCAACTACTTTTTTTCTATATAAAAGAATATACGGACTTCATGCAAAAATGTAAATGACGATTATGAAAAAAAATATGAAAATTTTAAATATTAAATAGCTAATTCCATAAATTTTAAACAAGTTTTAAAAATTTATGAAATAAATTTGTATCAAATATGACTCGCACATATTTTTGTAGAAATCATAATAAAAATTAATACTACGTAACATAGTGAGTAAAATTTTGTCAATGCTGTAACAATAATCTAAATAAATGTTAAAAAATTATTAAAAAGATCAAAAATTATGAAATTAATTTCAAAATGAGTTGCAAAAAAATTTTATGATATCATAATCATTTGCTTGTAAATTTTTTTAGCACAGTGTATTTCAATGAAAATATAATAGATTGAATTTAAAATCCATCAGGTTTTTTTTAATATACGATTTTTATATCAAATAATGATTATATATATGATATTTAAACTATCGAGATCCAATTATCTAGATTAATGAATCTATAAAATATAAGAACATCATTTTAATAATATATTAATTATTGATCAATTCAAATTATTCTCATTTGGGTTAAAATTGAATTTCCTTCTAAGTACAGTATTAGTTACATAAAAAATTAATTTCATAGTGTTACTTCAAAAAAATTATTTTAGATTAAGTATTCATTGGTTTATTTTAAAATTTTTTATCTTCATTAATTTTTTAAAAGTTTGATAATTAAATTTTTATGTTTACTCTAACCATTCATATAAAATCAAAATATAATACATTACCCAATGAAGTTAGGTTAGTAATAAAAACTTTGTAACTCCGGAGTGTACGATTGGATTCGTCGGGAGTGAGGTGCATATGGAGTGCACGAAGATGGTAGATATCCACGGGTGGAATAACCAAACTTCTTGACTTGTAGTTACCTGTGCATGCGCGGATATGATGGCCCAATTCTGAGCTTTGCTCTGCATACGAAGCTCGTCGACACCTTCTTTAGGAGAGTTTGTCTGCTGGAGCAACCGGACTAACCGAGCGAGGTCTCGGAGGATCTCAAGCCAGCGGACGTCCTGGGAATTTGTCTCGCCAGGACGCACAGGAAGCGCCTGGAGGAGCGCGACTTCCTGCGTGAAAGCGCGGCTTTCACGTAAATTGCCGATTTCGCGAGCGGCCGGTCGGGGCTTGGCCACGACGAGCACGCCGAGCAATTAGGAGAGCGAGCTATACGAGAGAGCTCTCAACGCTGCGAACGAGGTCGTGTGCGAGGCGCAATGCGCAGCTGAAAGGTGTAATGGCAGCGGCGGGAGCTCCGAGGCAATGCGCTAGGACTTCCACTCGTATGAAGTGTTGTTCTTTAATCTTCTCCTGCCCTTGTCTTGAGGCTGCCTACCGCCGCAAGGCCACCTCCAACGCTGACAATTGTCACCCCATTCCAATCTTGTTCAAGATTGCCGTGAGCGTGCTTAATCGAATCGGAGGACTTTGTTTACAGAGACATCTCTATCTCTTCGCGAGTTTTTCCGTCTGCGAGCTCTGGGCGATGTGGCCTGCTGTATTCTGACTTGTCGTGTTGACTGTGCAGCTAAAGTGTCCAGAATGTAATTGACGTCCAAATGTAATTTATATATATATATATATATAATATTAAAATTTTCTGCATGATGTTCATTTTAAAATTACGTACAACATAATTTATTTTTATTTGACTTCCTTATAGATCAAATAGTATTCAGTCATTTTCAATTCTCGGCACAAGTTCACGAGTCTCGTAAATGGTGGCACTGTGATGATGGAAGGCTTGCAATTAAAACACTTCTAAAGTGAGATTTGCTGACAAAAAGAGAAATTGGCCATTTCCCTGGAAGTTGCTACCCTGAGTAGGTATACTATTGGCCCAGTGATTCTCGTACTCTCATGCACTGCAATTGTCCAGGCTTGACTTGTTTCTTTCTAGCAGTTGTACTACTGTGATATGTTACCACAGCCGTTTCCTCTCAATCAAGTCTCATTCTCGTGACAGAAATTAAAGAATATGTCCATCTAAAAAAATCTCTATCAAACAATAGGTTACCACTGTCACTACTCCATATAACTGCAGAACTAGGAAAACTACATTGTAACTAACATCCGGATAGAATAGTAGCCGAGGAAGCTTCGCACTATTCCTGATGGACTCCGGAAGCCACAGATAAACAAGTGACAGCGGTCCTCCAAGGATCCAACATACGCTGAAGATTGAATCTCGCCTTTTGCCGTCTGGAAACTCGTCAATCATAAGACTGCAGAATACGTAGAGATTTGTCAGCAGCTGGAATCCAACGAGAGCAACTCCGCTGATGGTGCAAGCCAGCATCAAGAGCTGACTGTCTGGCGGCAAGTTCCCAAACCCTGCTGCCACAAATGCTCCGACTCCGAAACCTACACTCACCGTGAGAGGGAAACCGTTCTGTAGCCGAATCAAAGCCACGAGCAGAGTCTTTTCCCAGGCGTTCTCTGAGCGCTTGTCACTACGCATAATGCACATCAGACAGCGGAGTATCGTGTAGACAGCAGAATAGAAGGATACGCTGTTGCAAATCCAGAACAATCTCGCCGGCCTGCTTCTGAAGTCTCCCACATTCGTGCCGAACGGAGGCTGCAGGTACGCTGCGAAGGTCACGCCTGCAATGAAAGTGGCCGCCACCAGAAATGTGTTGACAGAATCTTGAACTGCCTTCCTTTTTTCATTTAAGGCAGTCATTATCAAGGCATTCCGGGGATGTTTTTCCAGCATGGTCAAAACCACGTCGAGAATCTTATTTTCTTTTGTGCGATTGGGTTTCGATCTTTTCTTGGCCCAATATCTGTACCTTTCCCATGCTATATCCAATGGAACTAGACTAGTGTCGTTGTAAGCGGCCGGATCGAAATTGGGGTGACTACCGAATTCAACCAGCATCTCCAGAAGATCGGAGGCTTTACACATGCGAGTGGCCAAATGCAGTGGAGTGTCAAACCTTTTTCTTTTTCGCGAAATCAAGCTCACGACCTTTTTTTTCGCTCGAAGTCGAATTTTGTGACAGCCAGGATGGAAGATGGCACTTACCTTCCGTCACCACTTTCGCGCAGACATCCACCTCTTTAACTGAGATCAGCATTTTGAAAGCCTCCATAGCTCCCGTTCTGATCGTGCAATGGAGAGGAGTCATACCAAAGAGGGGTTCGCCTACATTCAACTGTATACCCTTAGATTGGATAAGGTATGTCACAAGCTCATGATTGTTCTGAGTAGCAGCCAGATGCAATGCAGTGTGCCCATCCATAGGAACCTTGAACTTTTGATACTGGTCCCATTCATTCTCGTTCACTTCGTTATCGTATACTGAAATGCGCTTCACACTCCCATCGAACGTCCCATCCTTTGAATTCTGCAGGAGGAGACTCAAATGCTGTATGAAAAACTTTGACATCCGTTTACTGATCGCTTCCACATTTACCGAACATTTACTATCCTTATCTTGAAAGTCAATAGCCAAAACCCCAACGCGGTCATTGATCTGACGGGAATTATCTTCCAGCAACATGTCCATGGATTTGATATTATACCCATTTAGCGTTACGTGAAAACCCTTACGCTGCCATGCAGACAGGAGAAATGGCGTCCAGCCCCTCGCTCTGTCTTTGGAGACAAAATCCAGTGGGACTTCAGAGTCGAACAGCACCCGGACGACGTCGGCATGTCCTCGGGCAATAGCAAAATGCAGGACGTTCCTGCCAAACAACTTATCTTTGGCCTTGACAGCATTCTCCACATCTTCATATATTTTCAGAAGCAATCTCACGGCTTCAGCGTTACCAGAGCAAGCTGCCAAGTGCAACGACGTGAAACCATCCTCGGAAGTGTCGTCTTTGACAGGAAGCTTACGTCCCAGCCACCATTGCAGTTCTACAATAACGGGACAATGGCCCCTGGATGCAGCCAGATGCAGTGCAGTGTACCCACCTTCCGTCTTTGCAGTCGGATCCGCCTTCACGGTCTTGAGGTTCCGGACGATATCCACGTCTCCTGCCCAGGCTGCAACGTGCAAAATCTTCACCTTGAGGTCTACGTCCACATAGGCGTCCTTGAGCACTGGGAGTTTATGTAGCAACGCCGTCAGGATCGAAAGATCGCTATCGCTACCAAGTGTTTGTAACAACTTCTCTCGTAAATCATAGCTGAGCTGGAATCTGTCGACTTCCGCTTCCTTCTTCTCCATTCTCCTCCGAGGTCTCCGTCTCCGTAATTTGTAAGGTCCATTACATGCACAAGAGGGCAAATTTGCACGCAGAAACTAACTCTCGGAGGCTGAATGCGGGACCATGATGTTCGGGATAGATCTCGGAGCTTTGAACTCTATGTCAATACCTCTATGAAATTCATGATTGTACTCGTCACATATGCAAAGCTCATGCAATCTGGGCTGGTGACAAAGACCTGCTGATTCAAGCTGTGCATTAGTAGCCGGTCACCTTCGCCTTCTAGTTGATGTATGTCAAAAGGTAGCATTTTAACGAAGCCTATAACCCTGCTGCCGAAGTGATGGGATCCCGCAGATATCGGGACACGATACTCACATAAGCGTGAAGAACGCTTATGTGATTACTAGCACAAAGAGTCGGGCCGCTCGGGCCTATAAAATCTATAATTGTAGGTAAACGCACCCGTCCTGACATGCTCAGCAAAAGTAAATGCACGGTTCTGACGCATAAGATTCTGTACAGTACCTTTGTGAAGAAGTTGGTCAATGCCAACAGGCTATGACTGGAGCGAGAACAGGTAGTGGAGGGATTAGCTAAATTAGTTTAAACTTTGCCACTCATGACGATGAATATAAAATTATGTATGTTTTGAAATTTTCGTTTATCTATTCAAGACTGAGGTACATTTTTTGTAAATCTAATTCTTTCGGGTTGGAATAATTCTGAGAAAATTTAATCGTGGAGTTTATGTCTATTCTCTTCATTTTCTTGATTTCTTTCAAGTGGTGATTTTTTGGAGAGGATAGAAATCAGAAGAGGGAATTATAAGAATTATTACAAACTCTAGATTTTTCATTTTGACATGTGAGGTATATTTTTAATGCAAAGATTCTAGTTTGGAAGATGAGAGTAAATAGATTATTAAAATTCAAAGTTAATCAATCTAGATTTGGCTTCATTTTTATATTGTCTCGAAGGTCTATCTATTAGATTTATCATTGTTTATTTAACAGTATCAACGATAGGGGAGTTAATTTTCACTCAATTTTGGTTAATTATCCTTCACTCTAGACTAATGTGCAATACTGTATCACACAACTCTAGTAAACATAGAGAGACCTCTGATCAATCACAAAGCTGTGTTGTATATAATATAGTAAGGTGAAGTATAATTAGTCCAAACTGAGAGATAACTATCTACTCCCCAACAATACATATAGAAAAATGCACAAATACCACTTGGTAAGGAAAATAAAGACATACTCCCGATATTGGTTGTATAATAATCTCTTTGGCCTTTTTATCTAAGGCTTTTTATCTTACTTCGCTCTTTCAGAATCCTCGTGAAACAACTAAAATATATCTATGAAAAGATTTTTACCTCAAAATCATCAAATTGTCATTTTTTTCCAAATTCCAATTTTTTTTGATTATTTCTGCATTCTTTTCTTGCAGTTAAGAAGATATTCTACAATATTTTATAATAGAGTACTTGGAAATAAATCATCAATCCTTGAGAAGAAATTACTTGAGATAATCTAAAAATTTTATTTGCTAATTATCTGGTGGTGATATTATCTATGATTGACTCAATACTTCAATTAGATATTTGTCTGAATTTTACTTTCTATAATATAAAATAGCATTTAGAAGAGTGTCTAGTTAATCCATTGACTTCATTTGAAAGTTGTTTGTATCTCATTACTTTCTCATCAAAACTCTTCTTTTTTCAACACTTCTTAAACTTGAAGTTAAAATTTCAGAAATCTCAAAAAGTTTGTCAAAATGATACCATTGATACTAAGTTTCTTTCAATAAGAATAAATAATTATTATTCGATATATTATTATATCTTATTGATTTTATGGAAAATTATTTTTATAATACTATACTAGTAGCAGAAATTAGTTCTAAAATATGAAATTTCACTTGGATTCAGTAAAGAAAATAAGATTTCTCGTACCAAATTGTACTGATTAGGCAAATGAAAGAATATTAGAATTTGAAGAGACAATAACTTGAAAATATACCTATCTTTTTAATGATATAAAATTCTAACAAATAATGATAAAGTCTATTGATATTGGTTACAGATAGACTTAGAAAATTCTTGTTTAGAAATTTATACTTGCGCTACCCATGTCTTCACGTTAGTTTCAACTCGGTACTATAAGTTTATTACGCATTAGTTGATTTTTAAAATCTTTACTTTCCATTTAAGTGTTTGCCATGTTTTATGTATGATATGTTCTAAGATGTTATCTCTCAGTGATTTACCATTACAACTCAAAATTTATACAACCATAGATTTTCATAGTGGTTTATTGACAAAAAAAATTTGTTTTTTTAATTATATCCTATATTAAAAAACATTATATTATATGGATGGTCATACTCTTCCAATAAACTTGTGACAACACTATACCAAATTCAGAGACTATTACAACTCATACATACATACTTACATAGCTCTTATTTGTCTATCACACTACTAGCTGAATTATTATTCTTCGAGAGAGATATGTTTACTCTAACAAATGTTGAATATTTACTTTCTTTCGGTGAAATCACTTCAGTCTCATCAGAATTAAACCACTTGGTCATGGTCGAACTTTCCTTACCAATTCCATCTTCTCTATTGAAGTCTTCACCCAGGGCATCCCGCTTGGTCGAGACTTCAAGGGGCTAGAAGGATGAAATTGATCATTTGGCACTTCAGTTTATGAATGTGGAGTTGGATGAATCAGCCCCATATACTTTTGGTCATCTTCAAAGGAGTCGGATTTGGGTTCTCTGAGAGGGATTCAGCCTAGTTCCTATTGGGTCGCAAATGCCGAGGACTTCGATTTATCTTTGGTTCTGCGCCCGAAGTTTGGCATTGTGAGGAGCTTCAGTTCGTCGTAGTCAGGCCCAAGGAAGCAAAGGTTTACCAGTACGTCCGCGCACGTATCGAGCAAAGTATGTGAGTATCGCTGAAAGAGAGACCACGTACTTTGTAAAGCACGAAGTTTTTTTCGCTCGTCTCTCACTATTCATTGAAGTCATAATGGTGAGCGAACGTGTTCAGGGCAGGAGACAATTTCTTCTGTCTCAAGTAAGACTCACGAGGATCTTTGGCATACAATACACAGAAAATTACACCGTGGAACGACTCTCATAGCTTGCGTTACGAGTCCGTCGTAACGTTAACGCTAGCCACGACAGTCCAATTTTCAGTGCTTGCGGCGTGCGCTAATTGGATTGCTCCTCGTTTGGTAACACCAGTTTCGGTACCCTGCCCCAGGTGAGCACTGACCTGTGATTTCCGCGCTGACATGGCCCAACAAGCTTGTATTGCCTCCGCGTATGTATAAGAATACAGAGAAGAAACAGGCTATGCTGGCAGTCTTAAAGTCTGGAACACAGAAAGTGCCATGTTCGCGTGTTCGCAAACGCCTATGTTATAACTTTTCTTTAGTTCTAATAGTCAGACCCACAGCGGTGGAGGTCGGACTTGCAGCATCAGTGTCAGAAGTAGGCGCACTACATCTGAGAATCGTATCTGCAGAAGTTTACTCCATGTAGGGATGACCATAATTCGCAGTGTTTGAAACGGAAGGTGACTAAATTGTCGATATGTGTATCAGATTGTGACTAGATCAAGATTTGAGAATAGTGGCCGGACACGACCTCATACATATCTTCGAAAGAGACAGAGAGCAAACTCGTTACGTTATTTCTCATCAAGTCGCGACCATGACTTCGTACACTTCAGCGATAAGTCTCTAGTGTGCAATGTTTCTCCTTGGGATGAGGATTCCTTCTGAAGTTTCGTTAGTTACTCACAACACAAACATGCTCTCGTGAGAATCAGCATCGAATTTCATTTAATTCTGTCCTTACATGTTACGATGCAGTTACATGAAATTCACTGAGCCCGGCTCGATTTCTGTCGTATTATTACCAGCTGTCAATTTCCTCGTCCGGGCAACCGCTGGATCCAGATCCCAAGATATGTCCCATATGTGCCAGCTGCTGAAAGGACGGATAATAAGATTCTGAAATGTTGTGCATAAAGTCAACAAATCAACATCCGAGATATTTTATGTTTTTCAAACGACCGTGAGATGCCACGAGAGATCTCGTTCGCTAGGTCAACACAATTGAATTGAGTGCAAGTGCTTGACTCCCGTGGATGCGCACATAGGCTATGACATTTCGTTTGCTCGGGGTTTTGCTTTCCGGGTTTGAGGGACCTTTGAAGAAAGTAAGGATAGAGACTCCTGCGATGGGCTCCTCTTCTTAGATCTGTATCCTGGAACGGTGAAGCGGCCCGGTGAACTCTTGACTATAACCCGCAAATTCCATGCCAACTCCTCATGAGAGTCTCTTTTAATTTTCTTAAACCTCAAATGGAGAGAACTTTAATATGCCTTCTCGTCAAGTAAATTGAAGTATCATTTAAAATTGATCCTTGAAGTCGCAGATTTGATTCTAAATGTCATGGTTGTAGATTCCAAACTGTATCTACATTATCATAAGTACTAACTTAACATTGACAAGAGGATATTGATATAATCTTACGCAGCAGAAGTTGAGTTTTACTTTTAGTGCATACCAGAGGATTTGATATAGTTGGATGTCATGAAGAAAAACATCCAGTAGGTGGAGATTAAAAGAAAAAATTTCATCAAATTTGACATTAAAAAATTAGCAATACCTTTGGTGCATATTAATATATGAAAAGGTTTAGATGGATAAATATCGTGCAGCAATCAAGTAATTATTTGAAGATGATAACATGAAGCATGTTTAAGTTCGCAAAGAGTATGATGTAGTCTGAATGCCAAATAGCAATACGTATGAATATTCTACATAAATGGAAGTTAAAGAAAAATTGTAGCGGCGCAAAGTTGTTTATTGTCAAAAGTCAATAAAAATGACAAATTCAAAAAAATTTCAAAGCCTGAAATGTACAAAGGATCATAAATTGCTATAAGTTTTAAAGATCCAAAGCTAACCAGATCCAAAATGGTATATATGTAAAATGTTATGAATGAAATCACAAATCATCTCTTTTGAGATAATTCTGTGTAATATTCTTTCTATTTTGACTGTTTTGTAAATAATTTTAGACAATATTCTTGCATGAACATTGCTTCAATTTTGAAGGATTTTTTTTACATATATATGTCTCTTTTGTGTTAAAACGACTAATTTTCACCATAGTATTTTTTCATTGTTTCAAGTTGCAAAAACCTAACATATGACTCTTTTTATACTAGATCCAACCAGAACAAGTATTTCGTCAAAACA